GTCCAGTATTCTTAAATTTCACAAATGTACACACCTGAACATAGAGAGGGTGTGTCAGCATCATTGATCAATGTGATGCAAAGTCATGCACAAAGCCCTGATCATATTGTCATCATGTGCTCTTTATTTTCAGTGGGTCTTTCTATACTTGTATTAGTTCAATTAGTGTCAAGTGCTGAGACCTCATGCACAGTATGACCCCATCTGGTATCATCCTGCTGCTAGGCCATGCTCCCCACCCATTGTCACTCAAGCCAGCTATCATATAAGTCCCATTTCACTGTGCTCTAGCTATATTCTTTATTGCATGCATAGTAGACTGTGATCCAGTCCATATATTGTCATAATTCACAAAATTATACATCTTGACATGCAGCAAGTGTGTCACCACAGTGATATGGTCATGGCACATCACAATGATTTCTCTCCAGAGGTTGTGATCCCTAGAGATGTAGACTCAACTGTCATAGTGAATGGGATTGTTGACCTTCATCATGCTTTGGGCATAGTTGACCAAAGGTGCAATGCATTGGTCTCATAATCTGGTCTTTCTCATGATGCTCTTGATTTGTTCATGGATCTCCTCCTCTGTCAGCATTATCATAGCCTGAAAGTGTTCCAGTTTCAACAATATAATCCTATTATTGTCTTTCCCTTTCTGGTCATGGTCTGCCTTTTTGTTTATGGTTTCAGCCTTGTGATGCAATGTATGATGGTACTCTGAGAGCTCTGTGACCCAGCATGCCTGTCATCAGTTCAGCTTCTGGAGAGATCAGAAATATCAGGTTTTCATAATTAGTCCATATTTTGAAGATCTGTGTGGATCTGATCAAGTAGTGTCTCCATTCTGCCAGTGTGAGCATGATTGCCAAGAGTTCCTTGTCATAAATCTCATAGTTGCACTCAGTAATAGTTAGTGCCATTGAAAGGAAGGCTACTGGTTACCACTTCCCCTTTTGTTCTTGTGATAGGATGGCACCTATTGCACCTTTGCTTGAGTCTGCTTTGACACAGAACCTTCTCTCCTCTGTTGGTACTGCTAGTACCACATCTTCTGCCAGTTGTCACTTCAGGTCTTCAAATGCTATCTGTTGGAGAAGGCCCCATGCCCAAGGCATGTTTCCCATAAGCTGGGTCATTGGTTGGACAATCTCACTGTAGTCTTGGATGAATTGGTGGTAGAAGTTTGTGAACCCAAGGAATGATTGAAGTTCCTTCTTCTTTGTTGGTGTCAGCCACCCCACCACCTCTGCTACCTTTACTGGATCCATCCAGATGCTCTCTTCACTGATGATGACCTCTAGGTATTCTGTTTACAACATCTTGAACTCACACTTCTTGGCCTTCAGGAAAAGCTTATGCTTTCACATAAGAGCAAGTACCTGTCATACCAGGCTTTGATGCTCAGCCCAGTCCTTTGACATGATGAGAATGTCATTGAGGTATATCATGACCTTTCTGGTGGCAATGATATCCTTAAAGATGTTGTTCATCATCCACTGGAAAGTCACTGGGGAGTTGGCTAATCCAAAAAACATAACTGTCAGTTTAAAAAAACTACAATTGGTCCAAAAAACTGCCTTCAACTCATCCCCTTCCTGGATCCTAACATTGTTGTATTCCCATCTAACATCAAGTTTGGAATAATACTTAGCCCTGTGTAGCTTGTCCATGAACTCAGAGATCAATAGAAGTGGGTATCAGTTCTTGATCATCGCATTGAGCTTCTGATAATCTTGGACCAGTTGAAGTTTCTCATTCTTCTTTTTAATAAAAAAGAAGGGAGATGCCATAGGAGACTTGAACAATTGGATCCATCTACTGGATAAGTTCTCATCCAGGAACTTGTCAAGTTCTAGTTGTTCTGGTTGACTGAGGGGGTATACCTTGCAGTCAAGATTGGCATTCACATTTGGGATTAGCTTGATTGCATGGTTCCAAGACTTTAGCTTAGGCAGCTCATTGAAATTCTCCTTGTTGAATAGATCCCAAAAATCTTGAGCCCATGGAGACACCATCTCTTCAAATGATTTGGATTCCTTCCCTGCATTGACCTTTGCTGCTAAGTCATTAGCATGATACATGGCTTAAATGTAGATCACTTGCTCTATGTTGATTATGGGGATGGTTTCACTGTCCTCCATCTCCTCATCCCACTGATCTTTAGAGTCCTCATCTGATAATTTGAATGGCATTTTGCAGCATTGGCAGCAGGTGAAAGTGATTTGGCTGGTCTTCTAATTGACCAGCTGATTATGCTGAATGAGCCAGTCATAGCCTAGAAAGACCTCCTTCACTCCAAGGTCAGTAACAGCATATAGGGTATATTTGAATGTATGTAAATAGAAGTAACTACAGAGGGTAAATAAATCTGTCCAGCAGCTACATGAGACACACCATGAAGTCCATTGGTCAACTGAGTGGAATTGTTCACTCATTGGCCACATCTTTTACCTCCTTAATCTTTGTATCCTTACTATTCTCTTTGAGTCCATCCATCTCCTTTTGCAGTTCAGTGATCTGTGTCCATATGTCTTCTCAGGTGCATTTCTTCTTTAGGCAGTTCTATGATAAATGTCTCTTCTCTCCACAGTTAAAACACTTTTCCTCCTTCTTCATTCAGTCAATGTCCATGGGTTTTTCTTGTTCTGTATAGGTAGTTCCTGTTTCTGTCTTTTACATTGTATAGGAAGAAGCAGTGCTGCTAACAGTGGCTTTAGCAGGAGAGGAGGTCTTGGTCAGGTGATTCAGTTTTTAGTCATTCTGCTAATAGGCACTGGCTGCCTTCTGTCACTGCCACTCCTTGTTCATGATTGTGATCCTCTCCTTCTATTCTTTGTACTCCTTCAGGATGTTAAGATGAATATCCAAAATGATTTTCAGATAAGAAGATAGCACTCTGATTTTCAAAGCTTCAACCATCCATCCTTCTTCATCAATGTCATCCAGGAGCCTGGCTAATTTGGCAAGTTGTTCCAGCTCATCAAAATACTCATTTGCTGTTTTATCACCCATCTACAACTCCTACATTTTGTTCTTATATACTTCCTGTATAGTGGAGTCAGTGAACTTGTCACATACAATCTGTTTGAAGGTATCCCAGGATGGCAGTCAATGGTGCCTCCTAGTGTTAGAATAGAAGTTAGTGCTTTGGAGAGTCCACCAGGTTTTAGTCTTGTCCTCAAAGTAGAAGGTGGCAAATGCTGTCTGATAGATGTCCACTATTAAGTATGCTGAATATACCTCAAAATATTGTTCACAGTCAGTGAGAAAGCAGTCAATGTCATCAGAGAGACTCTTGAATGGGCATGGCTTTCACACAAGATCTGGTTTGCACTGAATAAGGAGGGCATCAACAGCTAAAGGCCTGATCAGATTTAGGTACCCATGAAAAGATGGGTGTTCCTATTCCTGGAGCAGTCTGAGGAATGAGTGAAGTGAGTAGTCATCCACAACTAGGCTTCCTGCTGGTCCAGTGCTTGCCTTCCATATGATTCATCCATTGATGATTGTGAAGTCCAACTTGATAGCATCAGAGTCATCTACCCTAGTTTGTCCACTCAATTCTGCTTTGTTGGCAGGTGGTTGTCTGGCCAAGAGCCAACTACCTGTTTCCCTTCAAGGATGTCAGGCCAGAGCTGGCTTCTCAGCTTGCTGAAGTCACTATCAGAGGGTATGTGTGGATGTCATTCAGATTGATAGTGCTGTGTATATAGCCTCCTGGAGTTGAACTAATGGTGTGTTCAGCATTGGCCAAAGTTCATACTTGGACCAGTACAGTGGTAATGTCAGTATGGCTGGATATTCGGAGTAAGTCTGGTTATAAATATAAATGGCTGTCCAGTAAGAGGCCTAATCATTGTTTATACTATCTAAATACATTTCATATCAATGTACAATCTGATTTCCAGTCTACACCCAGCTGATCCACAAGGAATGCATAATCTTGTGCAACCATCTATGTCTGCTTTGATGTGTACCATGACAGTGATAGAGATAGGACTTATATAGTGTGATCATATGAAATACTATCCTTGAACTATCATTTTCCATATGTATATCTCTTACCACTGGCCTTCTAAGGCCTTGAAATTTTGTAATGTCCAGATATTAACAAGCTTGTCATTATCAAATGATTTTCAGAAAGTGGTCAAGCCATATATTTCTAACATCAGCTGAACTCAATCCACAACAGAAAACAGTTCTGTCTAATAACTCTGTTACTGAGTTCATTTTATCTGTCTATGACTGTTAATCATTATACTTTCTTTGCATCTGACTGCCTGAAAAACATATCTGATTCAGATAAGGATTTTGATGTTGAGGTTCAAAGTTCTTCCAATCTGAGACTGGTCAGCTAAGAATGTGAATTTTTCCATCTTAGCTAATTCTTACATATGGTCACTGATGGAATCAGCTTTCTTGGATTCCACATTGCTGTGATCAATCTGAAAGTGTGAGGAAATGGTAAAATCATGGTTTTCAATCTTCTTCAGCCTTTCTGAAGCCAGACAGTGGAAGGAGTGGAATATTTCACTGTTAGAGCCCAGAATAACTGTAGACATAACTGACAAGATATAATTAACTGACATTTTGAAGCAGATGCATATTTTCTCTATGTAGATCTGGAATTAACTGTGGAGGTGAACCCTTACTAGTTCAAACCAAATATAGTCTATCATACAACTTCTTTAATTCATGGACTACCTTCTTATGTGTGCTTTTGCATAAACAAGGAGGGAAACTTCTTTGGTTGTATCTGCCTGTCAGGCTGCAGATATCAGGAAACTTGTGTACACATCCTTGACTGGCATTCTTTGAACAGGTATGGATTTGGCCAAAGTGAAAGATGACAATGTTTCTATACTTTCTCAAGATTATAATGCATATCATCATACCAAGGCTTTTGCTGAATGAATTGTACTCAATGTGGATGGGATGGTTGGTATGATGGTGTGGTGGTCATAGTTTGTAGGGCATGCAGGATGATCAGATAGATGTCAGTTGGCTTTCCATGTGACAAGCAGCTCATTTGGCATGTAGTGAAGCTGCTTGAGGACAGTCAGGATAATATACAATTCAGAGATACTACAAATCTCATGGATTACCTCTATGTGGGTAACACTGTCCATGCTCACATTCTGGCTGCTGATCATTTACTTGCAAGTCCGAAGAGTGTTGCTGATCAAGTATTTTTCATCACCAATGGACAAAAAATCGATGGATAGATTGCTTCGAATTCGCATTTTATACATGGGATCTATACAAAATATCTTAAACATGTTGAACGCAATACTTATGATGGATTTCGTACCCTTTGGATGAAGCAATTGTAAAATGGTGCGATTCGCCGGACTAATGATATGAATTGAGGGTAGCAGTACAAAAGATGAAATAATTACTTACAGAATTCTGTTGCTTGAAGGAAGGCGATGGGAGCGTAGGTAAGAGAAAGCATCAGCGGATTTAGATCGTAGATGTGTCCATTTAGGGGCGGGTAGACATAGAGCACACGTTTCCACAGCTAGATAAAACAGCCAATCCATTCCACCTAGCATCGTCTAAGTGGCATTCCAGCGACTCAACAAAAACTGCGGACGGTCTCGTTGGAGAAAACATTTTTTGACCTGTGGAGCGACGCTGCAGATTTCTGTGGGATAAAAATTGGCGTTCCATGAAATCTGAGCTCATGATGGGTTAGCATGACATCCAGAAAAAAAGACAGAAAAACGTATCTGCTAGATTGCCACACGCACGTTGTGTTCTGATACTCCGGGCTGCCACCGCTGCTTGCAATTCTCTTCCAAGGAAGTTGCCACTACTTTAACAAGAGAACCGGTGTCGATATCCCCAGTCAATGACTCGATATTTCATGTTCGAGCTGGATGAGAGTCATAAATTTTCCTTTGTATCATAAAAAGGCTCTCTAACCTCCGGTACGAGAGCCTACTATCCACGTGGTCGTCATAAATGAGGAAGCGTGACTGTCACCAGGGCGTGGCGTTTCCGGTCCGGTATTCCCGAAACAAATGGTCTCTTGCATAGTACTGATCCATCTCAGAACTGATCCATCTCAGAGCTTGGTGCAACTCAAGACCTGAATTGGGGGATGAATGACATGCCGAATATCCATGGACGTGTGTTGCTAAAGTTGCTCAGATCCTCCATCACTTCTACAAGGCGTTGCGTCCCAGCCCGATGCGTTTATACAAGGACGACCCATTCTATTGACGAGCAATGAGGAAAGCGGAAGTGTCTCCAAGGCACACAGAGCCACATCTTACAAGTCATCAATTTCCTTCGAAAATAGATGCGTGCTTGATATTCACGATCCACTAGCACGATTCTCCCAGAACATTATTGACATATTCTCAGGTCACCTACTGACTGACCTGTGGAGTTTCGTATGCAGTCAAGGTATCGACCTTTTGACCGGGCACGAGTCTGATGTATTTCATTCCAGTATTGGGGAAACGCTGGAGTTCATGAACCGAAATCTTGGCCTCCTTCATTTTCCCTAAACTGTCTTGGTCTGCAGCCTTAGCTACAAGCATTTTCATCGACTTCGCCATGGACCAGAACCACGGTAAACGTATGATGGAGATGGAGACTACATGTGCCTGTAATAAGTGAGCTTTCGGTGCTCATACCGCATGTGAAGGTGTCAGTTAAACATCGGGGCAATGTCAGAAGACACCTACCGTTAAAATCGTGTCATTGGTTGCGTCTCCATCAGATAACCGATCTTTTTTCAAGCATGGGTGCCTTACTGGGAACTGCGCCACGATAACCTAGGCCCAGGCAAGCAGAAGTTTCTGCCATCATGTGATAATCCGATAGATGCTGATGGCTAACCTTTACCACAAATGGATTTTTTTCATTTTCACTTCGTTCTTTCGGACCGTAAGCGATCTGCCCATTCTATCGGTTCACCTGTTAAACGAACAGGAATCGTTTATGCAGATGGTAGGTGATGTTCCTATATACTGGATGCGTAGTAAGAATACACGACTTTCCGAATTAGACTAAAGCGTGAAACTAGCTTTCTTTTTCTTTCGCTGAATATATGGAGGGTCTTCTCTCTTTCCTGAAATGTTAACGTATTGGCTCTGCAGATGAGATCGATCAACAACTACTTTAAGCCTTGACTTTGGCAGAGGGCGCGCACTTTGAATTACGGATGGCGGTGGCGAATAAACCAACGTCATAGATGTCTTTATGACGCGTTTCGATCATCATACGCAGATCCCCCGCCCCCGAATATGGGCTCCCGACCGGTATAAAAGTGCGTGTCCTTCAATCGATCTCTTCATCTTCCCTTTCCCTCCTTCCCCCACTACCTCCCTCATGAACGATTGGTATTGATAGCGCGGTGAATCATTCTGAGGATGCGCCAAGGCATTCCCGGATCAGCTTTGCTATTGCTCGATGGGACCTTCCAGTTTGGAGACGATCCTCGCAACCACTACGGCTCAGTAATACTCACAGGATGATAGAAGACGCGGTACTGTCCACCGTAACTCCGGCTTCGGGTCAGAGATATCTCTGTCGACAAAGTTCGGTACTTTATGTGGCTGCCCCATGTCTGCGTCTGTGCCTTCTATTGGGGAGAGAAGCCGCTCGGTTATCTCTGGATGAACATTGTTCCGGGACGGCATAGCATTGTCAAAGAAGCGGCATCGCTTTGTGGGTTCTCGGGTTTACTCTGGTCGAATTCGAAGCTGCGGTGTCGATCCCCATGCTTCTTCCCGTTGGGGTTATGTATAGTTCGTGTGATTCTAATTCATGGTGCGCGTCCATGTGCAGATTAATCTGTCCAGCGTTGTATAGTTCCTTCGCACTTGACTTCATTCTGGGCATAGGCAACTTTGGTGACACGGTGCGATGCATAGGTGCTGATCATGGATTTGGATCGTGTATCCCCGATGAACGGGTTCGGGTTCATTACCGCAACGTATTGGTAATTAGGAGGTGTTTCGAAGTATGTAAATCCGGGTTTGTGGCCTGATTTAATTTCGATGGCCTTGGACGGAGAAGAGTTGAGAAGAATACTCCAAATCGCCTGACTGTGACTGACTGATCATTTACTGCCATCAGGCTTTTCGGTTGCCTTGTAGAGAAAATGTGTCACGGGGTGGTTGGTAAGAGTGATCCGCGATGGAAGAGAATGAATAAGAGGTCATGGGATCATGTGTGGGTCCTCATGTTACAAAGACGATGTTTTTCTGACGTGCATATGCAGGTTTCGATTGCCGCGCAAAGGCATAGAGAGATGCTCCGAAATGGGAATTTGCCTGGACACCCGACTGCCGATGACAGTGATGCTTAGATTAGTCTGCCGCCTTCCCGGCACCGTGTTCCTGAACTGTGTTCCGTGGTTGATGGTGTGATCGTTGGTGGTGTGATATTTTGTCAGGATCATTGTCATTCATCCCACTCTGATAGGACGTGTGCAGTCGGACTTGGCAAGTGTCAGCTGATGCGATTAGACATTGATGCGTGCTCACCTTGATAGGTACGAAATTGGACGACGCATCATATGGAAAAACGAATGTTCAATCTTTTTCGTGATTGAAACTTTCGATTTCATGAAGTCATGCCCCTGATATTGGCGTCGGATGCCGGACCGTAACGATATTGTCCAGCCGAAAGCACAAACGCTCCTCCGACCCCTGTCTCGTTTCTCCCTTTTTCCCTTCCTTCCAACCGGAAGTCCGACAGACGGCGTCCCGCCCAACCTAGGCGGGGACGGAGAGCACTCGTGATAGGTCGGTGCCTGCGGCGCCTCCACCATCATTGGCAGGAAAAAACTTTGATGGGTCTCATGGTGCATTCTTGATTTGACAACAAAAATGCAAACAGGAAGAGCCAAGATGATAAGTGGGCGTGTGATGCGGGGAAGCCGTGTGGGGTTGGATTTCAATTTGATTTATTCGCCCCCGCATCCGAAAAGGGGTTGCCGCGTGATGGCCGCAATGTCAATGAGTATAAATAGTCCGACTGGGGACGTGGGCGCCCATCCTTCCCTTTTCCCTTTTTCTCCCATGTCTGAATCTATTCCCATCCATCCCGTTGCACCGCGTCTCGCAAATGGCCACAAACTACCCCATGTTGGTCCCCATGTCGAGGCATACAGAGCCGCCCACAAAGAGACCATAGGCCACGAGAGTGATAGTTGGTGGGCTAAGGTATGTTTCGCGCTGTTGCTGGGGGAATTTCCCACTGACGCGCCGTACAGATGGCTCGCCAAACTTTGCATTGGGACCGCCCTTTCCATACCGTTCGCGCTGGAGGCTTCGAGACTGGCGACATCGTTTGGTTCCCCGAGGGCGGGCTGAATGCTTCCTACAACTGTGTCGACCGCTGGGCGTTCAAGCACCCGGACAAGGTATGATGACTTTGTTCTTATCTCTGTCTTTATTTACGAGTATTCCCAGACGGCTATCATTTACGAAGCCGACGAGCCAGGTGAGGGACGTAATGTCTCGTATTCCGAGCTCCTCCGCGAAGTCTGTTCGGTCGCAAACGTTCTCAAATCGTTCGGCGTCAAGAAGGGCGACACTGTATCCATCTACCTTCCTATGACCTGGCATGCTATCGCTGCCTTCCTCGCTTGCGCCCGTATCGGCGCCGTTCACTCTGTCATCTTTGCTGGTTTCTCCTCCGAGTCTCTTCGCGACCGTGTGCAGGACTGCCGTTCGCGTGTCCTGATTACTAGTGACGAGGGAAAGCGTGGAGGAAAGACCATTGCTACCAAAGCCATCGTCGACGCCGCCTTGAAGGAGTGCCCCGATGTCGAGCACGTCTTGGTTCTCAGGAGGACCGGTAACGACGTTCAGCTCACTCCAGGTCGCGACAAGTGGTGGCACGAGGAGATTGCCCGGGTTCCCAACTACTGCCCTCCTGAAGTCATGTCGAGCGAAGATCCGTTGTTCATTCTCTATGTCCGTGTCTTTCGTGTCACATCTCTCGTTGCCTAACATTTCTTTTACAGACTTCAGGCTCAACTGGTAAGCCCAAGGGTGTCGTTCACACTACCGGTGGATACCTCCTGTGCGCAGCAATGACCGTCAAATACGTCTTCGACGTTCACCCCGACGACAAGTTCGCCTGCATGGCTGACATTGGCTGGATCACTGGACATACGTGAGTCCGTTCCCCTATGCCCATCTGTCTTTCCGACCCACATCAAAGCTCCGTCCCCAACTTTTTTTTGTAATTTCACATCTGCATTTGGATACTGATCCGTTCGACTTCTTCAGGTACATCACCTATGGTCCCCTTCTAAATGGAGTCTCGACCACCGTCTTCGAAAGTACGCCTGTTTACCCGACGCCATCAAGATATTGGGTTCGTCTTATCTTTGACCCGTCGGTGCCGCCTCAGTACTAACTACTTCCCCCAGCAAACCGTTGAAAAGCATGGACTGACGCAATTCTATTCCGCTCCTACCGCTATCCGACTTCTCCGCAGATTAGGTGCCCACCACGTGGAAGGGCATGATTTGTCGACCTTGAGAGTATTGGGTTCTGTTGGGGAGCCGATTAACCCGGAGGCATGGAATTGGTATAACGAGGAGGTCGGCAAGAGACAGGTACGATCTCTACGTCACCATTCGTTCATCCTGCTCACGATTGAGTAGTGCGCCATCGTCGACACCTTCTGGCAAACTGAGACAGGCAGTATTGTCGTAACGCCATTCCCTGGCGCCATCGAGACTAAGCCCGGTAGCGCTACTGTTCCCTTCTTTGGTATTGACCCTGTCATTCTTGATCCTGTCAGCGGAAAGGTTCGTCGTCCAGTCAACCTGCTTAGCGTCTCGTACTGACAATATGTTCAGGAGCTCGAAGGCAACGATGTCGAGGGCGTTCTGGCTCTCGCGACTCCATGGCCATCAATCGCTCGTACTATCTACGGCGACCACAAGCGCTATCTCGAGACGTATATGAAACCTTATCCTGGCTTGTTCTATACTGGAGATGGAGCTGCTCGTGATGAGCATGGTTATATTTGGATTAAGGGCCGTATTGATGGTGTGTTTCGTTCATTCTATCACTGGCCTCGCTCATTACTCTAATAGATGTTATTAATGTTTCTGGCCATCGTCTCTCAACGGCTGAGATCGAGAGCGCCCTTATCATGCACAAGGGTGTCGCTGAGACTGCCGTCATCGGTACCGCCGACGAGCTCACTGGCCAGGCTGTGTACGCCTTCGTCACCCTGAAGCCCGAATTCGCCTATGACCCCTCAAACGAGCCTGCCTTCACCAAGGAGCTAGTCCTCCAGGTCAGGAAAGTGATTGGACCCTTTGCAGCGCCGAAGAAGATCTATATTGTCAGGTGTGTAACCGTTCCCTCGACCCTATCGTTCTCTCTCACACTGATTCCTATCGGCCTGCAGTGACCTACCCAAAACTCGCAGTGGGAAGATCATGCGCCGTATCATGCGGAAGATTGTGGCGGGCGAGGGTGATCAGCTGGGTGATCTGAGTACGGTGGCCGAGCCTGGTGTAGTGGATATCATTAAGAAGAAGGTTGCGGAGTCTGCTTGAGTTTGACATGGTTGGGACCTAGGGCAAGGAAGGAACGTTTTTTATATGATTTTTGTTTGTATAATCAGACTGTACACTATGCTTTAAAATTTATTATTCCCTACAATACCCCGGGGGTTAACGTTCTGATAAGAGACGTAGGGTGCTAATATAACGCCTACCAGGTTAGGAGTACGGAGCATGTGGTGCCGGACGACTTGTATCAAGAGTATATTGCCTCCGTACAAGGGTACTGAATCATGGAAAATGAAGAACAGACCGAGTGGCGACGAGCCCGGATAACTAACCGAGATTGTATATGACAAATCCGAGCGAGATGATCCTGGGCGTGCCTAGACGAGATTTGGCTGACGGGTTTCCTTATAAGTTTGAATGAGTGATTTAAAACCGAGTGGTGGGAAGAGCTTCTTTGCCTGGATTAGTGAATCTTTGATGTTACCGTATTTGACTCGGGAATGTATTAGGTGATCAGGAGCTAGGGAACAGATAACTAACTAAGTCTGTTTTTATTTGAGGAGCACACGTAGACTTCAAGTACTTCTCCTACGCAGGCATGTCTTCGTTGTCTCCGTAGGCGCTTTTTAAACAGCATGCCCGTCGGTCCTATTCTCATCTCAAGGCCATCCACGAGCTTTTGATCCTCCCCATGACCAGTCGCGGTAGGCTTCTCGTATGGACCCACTTATCATCTCCAACTCTGAGGGTAGTTAGGTAGTTAGCTAAGCTAGTCTAAGTATATTTAAAGTCCCTAGTAAGCCCCTTGTCGTCTTTGCCACAGATGTAACCTAGCTATCCCACTCACTTCGGTTGAGCACCGCCCAATGAATCTATCACGAACATCCAATCATTTCGCACTTGGACGGTTATCTAGTTGCGAATCCAGACGTGTTATACGTCATTCAAGTCGTTCTCAAGGTGAAAGGACCGCACATTTAAAGTTAAAACGAAGCTACGGTACAGGATATATCTGTTCTGCATGCTGAAAACCGAACTTAAGCTGCCCAGCAGGCAGAGATTATTTCAATACTACATCATCATGTAATTTTCAGTGAAAAGTTCCCCCAAGGTCCGACACTAAGACTCCCCTTGGCCCTTGGGAAATTCAACTTCTTTATTTCATCTTGGCTAGGGCAGAGCTTAGATTTATTTCCTACGACTATCCGTGCCAGCGCATCATATCAAAGGAAAAGCAACGACAAAACTGCTTAACAGCACGCCCTTCGCTCGGTCACTGCCGAGTCCTTCCTTTCCGGGCCATCACCATCCGAATTTTTAGCACGAGCGCGTACTACCTAAAACACCGGGTTCAGAGGCTCTACGCTGAACAATCGGTCGTCACTTCGGAACTTGCACAGTCAAAGCCCATTTTCATCTGATGCAGCCTCTAACTTCGGATAATATGTCCCCCTTGCCGTATACACACCAGCGTGCATCCCTTTCTTCCTTCTCAGCGTATCCAGAGACGGCGATAACGGCGACAGGCAATGTTTTGTATTCAGATTCTCGTAACTCTGGAGATGATACACGACCAAAATCCTGGAACCGTCGTTCTGGAATGATCCATAAATCTTTGTCAGGACAATCTATAACCACTGGTTGCCTTGATTTTTCTGCCCGGAACTCTGGCATGATCTGTGCCAATGCTCGTGTCTTCCTCTCTTCTATATCTTGCTTAGATCCTGTGCTTTAGCACCGGAACAACGCTGCGGGCAAAGGAGTACTCCAAAAACAATGTTTATCTCTAATCCCATCGCAAAGTTGCGGATAAGTAAGTGCCTACATTTTTCTGGACCATTACCCTTGAATAAAGAGACGGGAAGTACAGAACGCCACAAAACCCAATTTAACTTTGCATAATGACCTCCGCGTCGGCATCTTCTTCAAGACAATGCCACGCAGAATGTCTCGATTGTTCATCACTTTCGGTCACGAGACCATGTCTCGTCTCTCAAAATCCCGGCTTGAATGTTTTCTCTTCGTCATATCCTCAATGTCTTCTGATGATTTTCTGTCGTGTCACGGGTATGTTCCCATACGACTCTCACCTTCCTTCCAGGAGCGGTCTCCCATTCGCGATGCTCCAAGAACCTGCCGGTCATTCGTACGTCTACCCGCTCTTCACACTCCCTCATAGACGCCTGACATTCTCTCCCAGCAGTGACGACGAATCCTCTCTGATCTCCCCAAACTCAGAAACCTCCCCGCCGAGCAGTGGCGGCAGTTTTGCATATCAGGACTATTTCTACCTCGCTTTCACGATCCTAGACGCATCGAGCAGGTGCCGGTCTACACGCCCTGTCGTTATTTTATCAACCTGACGCGTTCTTAGCACAGACTCTCTCGACCTTTCACACGTCTTCCAACGGTGTGGTGTGGAACCGGACGAGAAGAACACGTAGGTCGCGGCTTTCTTCTCGTTCACGATTATTAACGGGATGCGTGTCGCATTGCGCTAGGACTTATATGGTTCAAGACGTTCTACCTGCTACTTCGATGCGCACTGAGGTCAACGACCAGGTCTTCGATGGCAGGGTGGGCCGTGATGTGAATGGTTTCATGGCAGGTGGTAAATGCGGTGGCGCCGATATTGGGTATGTACCCATGATTCAGATTCACGCGTCTTCGCTCAAGTCCCTCCTTCAGCACGAATTCTTCTTTCATCGAAGGATCTACTGTGGACAAGTAAGGGATATATGGTTCTCCTGATAGGATCATTACTCACTAGATTAGCGTATTCTCGGTTTCATGGCCGACGAAATGAGAATGACGTGTATGGCTTTGGAACGCCTTCGTAAGGTCCCGACGTCCTTAGAGATCTGGTACCTCCTGCTTGGTGGGAAAACGGGTATGTTACTTTGATTCGCTTCCACATTCTGTTATTAACTTCCATTCAATAATGGACCTATGAACTCATCATCGACGGCGCTTTCACGTAAGGGAAAACTCTACCTCCAGAACGAAAACGATGGATACACGAGAGTATCTGGCTCCAACGTCCCCGTTCGCGAGAACCCTGCGCCTTCTGGGTTACTTGTTCTCCAACACATCCATTGACACCCGAAGTAGACACTCAAAGAAGACTCAGTACGTCTTCTTTCTTGCCTTTCTTCGACTTATTTGTTCATTTGCGATCAAAGGGAAAAGCCATACCAGCGAACTCCCCATGGTAAACAATCAATACTGTGCGTGATTTCCCGCCGTTTCTTCATTCTCTCGCTGACTGTTATTATGGTGGTAGGTCCCCGCCTCCAGGATTGGAGTCATTTTGTAAATTGTTATCGTTCTCAGCCAGTTTTCTGCTCACTCGAAACCAATCTAGCTACGGACAAGCGGGAATCTACGGCAATGCGACACGTGATCTCGGAGTAACCGGACCGTGCCAACGCTCTCACTGTACATGCCATTCTCACCGCCTTATGCACCGTTACAGAGGATGGAAATAAATACATCCATCTATGACAAATCTCATATCAGCCGTCCTCTTCCCATTTAATGACATCATCCATAGATACCTCCTCAGACAAAAGCTCTTCCCCACCACGCATAAATTCCACATCAAATCCAACAGTCTTCGGTCCCCCAAGATGAGTCAAACGATTCGGAGTATCGACTTGAATCAGTATCTCGACTCCGACATACTGAGCATCAGCCGCTCCAGGCCAGATTCACAGTGTGCATGCGCTATTGAGTAAATCGAATTGTCTGCGAAGAGAGTCTTCACGGGGACATGCGAGTGAGAGAATTCGTCCGCCAGTACAGAGCCAGCGAGTCTGGAGTACCGGGCCCAAGTGGACTTCAGTTACTGATAACAGTCAGTTTATAGATGAATACTGTGACTTTCAGATGGAGTAATGCATCAACGAAACTTCTCCAACTCTTCAGGACCAATTTCAGAAAGGCAATGAACGAAAACGAAGAACTAGTGGTCCCGATTAAAGTTGCACTGCATCGGGCTGGCTACATGGCTGGATACGCCCAACATCAAGGAAAGCGACGTAGGCCCTGCATCACACCGTTGTACTAGAAATCTAGATGATAAAGCACAAATAAATCAGAGCACGCATCTTGTACAGGTATCTATCAGTGTGCCTGTAACTATCCAATTTCGGTATCCGTACTAAAATACAATATCAAAGGCGATATGCACCGGTTATCATATGCATACTCCAATTATGTTTATAGCGGTATCATAAGCCTCCATCCGATATATCTAGGAAACAAGATATGAATATGGTAAACACGAAAATTCTGTGAGACACGTACCGCTCCTATCTCCCTCCATAAGTGTCCTCTCCAGAGCACGACACTTCGTCGGATGTCTAGCGACCGTCTCCGGGCGAGAAGACGCCGCACAGCAGTACGGACATCTGAACCTGTTCTCATTATGATAACTCAAATTAAAGTGCCTCTTCAGTGCACCGGACTTGACGAAAAGCGATGTAGGTCTTCGGGGTTTCGCGTCGCAGGACGAAAGGTAAATGAACGGATCTTTACCTTCTCCAGGAGAAGAATGGGCATCTTTGGCGTGGCGAGGGGTGAAGGTCGTTTTGGGAACCAGGAGGACAGAGAAGACAAACGGAATTGATTGTGATGTCATCAAGGACCTCAGCGTAGAAGTAATCCTCGGGATTCCTTGCGAATTTCTAGTACTTGTTGCAGAGGGCTTCTTTGAATGGAAAATTGAGCAACTCAATAAATGTCTTGGAGGGGGAGTCACGAGGTTTGTTATTTCGGGGAAAGTAGGCTTTCTGTTGATTCTTCATGTCGTATGGAGAGGTACTTGATCTAGGTAACTATAAGTCTCCCGAATGATGAAGAAGTGTATGTACATACCGAAGAATGCTCCGTTTCTCCCGCCGTGCAGTTGAAGGGAGTGACTCATTTGAAGAACTATCTGGTGATCTACAAATTGTCAGGTTTTGGATGGGAAAACTGACTAAGAACGAACAGCATCTGGGATCTGGGTGGCGGTGATCCAGAGCTGTAGTTGATCCAGCCTCTTGCAACGGTCGGACTCGGCGAGAGAGTGGAAGGTGGAGTTGTTGAGGGCGAAGTGTTGGCGGATGAGGTAGACACAGGACTGATAAAGGAACCAAATGCGATGGAAGTAGGAGGGTATGTGAAATAATATACGCGTGAACAACTGAGAGCTCGAGATTTCGGACAGGCGCGTACATATCGCGTGGATCTGGAGAGTGTTGCGCATCATCTTTCCATATGCTTGGTTTTTTACCCCCTTTTTTGTGTTCATTTGCACACTCGTTCCCTTACTTTTTCGTGTATGGATTCGGGAAGGAAGAATTCCGCTTGGGGATGTGCTCTCTGAGGTCTCAGTCCAGACGTCGTTTCTCAAGTGTATGTTTATCTACCTGATCGCGTACTGGGTGGGATTTATGGTTAGAAGCAGCAAGAAAGATCGGAGGATCAGCTAATATGAGGTTCTCGAAGGAAGTAATGGACACAGTTACTGGCGGTCCTGTGAACTCCACGCCGTCTTCCCCCCTGATCTCCGGATATCCGCTGTGTAATGGCAGAGATCGTTCATTAGCTCAAGATTCGATTCCCTCTATCCATCCCGTGGGGGAGTCAGAATAGATCAATTCCTTTTTTCGATGTTTAACTTTCTCTTGACTTCTGAAAAAGCTCCTAAAATTCTCTGCATGCATGCGTTTCGGAGATGAGAAGAGAAACGCTCAATTAGGTGAGTCTTAGCTTCAAAGGAACCAGTTTGGCGACAATTTTGCTTCGTCAGTTCATTCTATGATTCGGGTATAACTATTTGGATGTAAAGTGAAATGGCTGGATGGGTTTGACTCCCTCCCTATCTCCAAAATGATGCCTGAGCGACCCGTTTTTCATGGTGATTACATTCTCTTCACGGTTTATCACAAATGGCCTTCATTGCTAATGGCATTTTGTCTTTTCTTCTAATGTTGCACATGAATCTAGCGTAGGAGTCCTGCTCGATACTAGTTTAGGGTTCAATTTTCGATTCCCTCTGCCCGTGTTGAATAAGGAGTGTATGAATTTCCATTTTTTTTTCACTTGGATCCTTGTCTCTCGTTCTTTCAAATGGGATTGTTCAAAATAATTGATGGGGTCATGGAGACAGAACAACCTTGGCGCCGGGTACAATGGTGGTTAATCAAAGGCGGATGCGTATATGGATTAAGGAAAGACCGCACCGAGATGTATTCTCTACAGTAATTATCTAATTTGTTCAGCCATCAGATCCTTCACACTGGGAATTTTGGAGGTGACAGATGACCTATGCTCATACATTTCATGTGGACCAAAGAGCACAGAGGTAAGCTGGAGTAGGAAGGAGCGGGGTATATATATGAAGTATATTGATAAAAGGACCCCGCTGTGATGGCAAGAGTAGTAGTCAGGAGGATACCACCTTGTCACGCCACTTTTTTTTGCTGACATTGGAGGTTGCCATTTTTGGTAAGTTTGTTGACGATTCGGAGCCAGCTCTGATATAGATTCTCCATCACTGCTCTCGAACTCTGAGGCTGCGAGCACGATTCTCCATGTTCCCTTCTTCCGTTTGCAGGCCTTGCTTTTTTGTCTAAACAAATTACACTATACTCTCTGACACACACACAGAGGCATGACTATCCAATGCGGAAACTTCGACCGTGGACAGGAAAGGAGCACATGGTGAAAGTAGAACCAAAGGAGGAGAAACTCGAAACTACAAATGACCTCCTTCATTCTCCCTTGCCTCCTCCTCCCTAAGGCTGGGAACACCCTGCAGAGTTGGACTACCTCGATGCCTCCACATTGTCCAAAGATGACATCATCCACCACCTCATCACCAACTCCTTCTCCATCCCTGCTCACATACCCCACTCTAAATGGATTACCATCATCACTGCAGCAGATGGCTCGATGATGATACTCCCCAACATGTACTGCATCCTGCTCATGTTCATTGGAGAGTTCATGTGGTCCTCCCTTTGGGTGGTCCTCATAGACAAGAAGGAGTGAGAAGAGGTCAAGGGTGGGGTGCTGCATGTGTCAAGGCTGTGTGAGGCATTGAAGAGGATCTGAGCATGCACAAGGTGAAAATGGATACAGCAGAGTGTTATCCACTGTCCACACTCACACCAACACACACACAAAACTCTTAGTTTGTGGAGGGATTATAATGCAATAAAAGTAGTATTCAACAAATATAATTGTCTTCTTCAATGAGATCACAGCACATGAACCACAATAGCATCCTTACAACAGTCTGAGGTCTCTCTAAGTCTCAAAGCTTTTCATTTTATCAAAACAAGAGGTGGCAACTGGTGTTGCTGGGCCTCAAGGCAAATGGTACTGCAGCTTGATACAATATGTTGAAACACTCCTTCAAAACTCTCAAATGGTCCCAAGCACAGCTCAGATCAACTCAAATCCCTAACACACCCAATACACAACTCAAAGCTTCATGCTCTAAGCAAAAACCAATCACAAACACATCTACAAGTGACCAAAAGCACAGATCTCTGTTCACAAGTTTCCAAACCAATTGTAGACCCACAGGATTCAAACCTATGTGATCCAGAGACACAAACACAATAAAACACTGTCTGGCAGACCAAAGGGTTTGAACCTCTGCCAATCTGTGGAAATAACACAAAAGTGCACACTAATCAAGCCAAAGGGTTTGAACCTCTGCCACCTGTAGTGCCACATGTCACAAATACCTCAAAAACTCAAGATGATGCCCTTCAGACACTGCTCTCTTATTCTCAGGTTAAAGCACAATCCAAAACCTCTTATCAAACTGGGCTTAAGTCCTTCGCAAGCTTTGATGCCTTGCTTAGTTCTCACAGCTCTCTCAAGGATATTCAATAATAAGTTTATTCTCTTGTCCAAAGTTACAAACACAAACCCAGAGCTAGAGTGCAAGGCTTTCTGTGCCCAATACACTGCAACTGTGGGGGTCGGAAACTTGATCTCTACTCATACAATACTGTATTTAAATACTCTACTATGATACTTACTAATACAATCCTACTATGGTATCTTCAAAGTGTGAGACTCCATGCTGGATCTCATGGTTATTATGCACATGCATATTGCAGTCACCACACTTATTCTCTTCCAGGTGAGGACTGTGCCCACTGTTCCTTCACTAGCTGACATCAGCTAGGTGGCCTCACCAGGTCTGCTTGCTTTCTTATTTCCCTGGTGACATCTTTGACAGTGGTAAACTGTTCCAGACCCCTGGGGTTATCTCTCATGCCAGGAGCCAGCCACAATGGCTATGTTCTGCTTCCCTGTGTCCAGCCAGTCATTCCATCTGACTCACCAAAGGTGCCATTTCTCAGTACAATGTGGAGTCCCTCACTATATTATGCATGCTAAGGCACTGGAAGTATGCATGCAAGGCTCAGGGTGGTATGCATGCTATTTATTCCTGGAGTCATATTCCTCTACTTATTACTTTGTTGTCATCATTCTATTTCTCTGTTCAATACCCATTTACTCAGATATGAGGGCCTCAGAGACTGCCCTCAAATCAATTGCAACATGTGAATGGCTATCTAGTAATACAAGAGAGAGGTGGATGGGGGACAAAAAACTCAATGACTTGTACAATAATGGTCCAGTAATACTGAATGAGGATTGGTTAAGTCTGGTGAAGCCAAGACTACTCGAGTGAGCCAATTGTGAGATAAATGAAGAGGCGGAGCCTCACCAGGCAACAGGAGTTACTAACAGGTGAAGGAGGAGGTGAAGCCTCAAAGCCTGGGATTGGTGGTCAGAAAAGATTGACAGTGAGAAAGCAGAGCTCATCTCACTTAGGGATGTGGGATGAAAGTAGGAATGAAGAAGAGACACCTGGCACCGATGTCTCTCATGAATCAGCATCAGCCAAGACTTGGCACTGAGACAGAGATGGCACTGGCAATCCCTCTTCATGGACAAGTGGAGCTCTGTATCTCTGTGTCGACAGAGATTGTGACAACCTTGAGAGTCACACAGAGGCCTGCAAAAATGCTCCCTACCCTTGGAATCTGCCTTTATGACAGCCTCTGCTGCTCCCTCTAACCTTTCTTTGGGTCTCAGTTCTCTGTTCTAAGGCATGTCTCATCAGTACATCAATGGCTGTGCATCTTTGATCAATGTGATCAGAATTGCTGATCATATTTCGATTGTAGTCTTTTTATTTTTAGCATGTCCTCTCATAATAGTATTGGTGCATTTAGGGACAAGTGCTGGGACCTCACATGCAGCCTAACCCCTCTGGTATTAGTCTGTTACTAGGCTATGCACTCTGCTCATTGTTACTTCAGTTTAGCATGATAGCTAGGTTTCTGTGTGCTCTAGTCCTATTTTCTGTTACATGCTTAGTGGATTGGAATGCAGTCCATGTATTCACAATTTTCACAATTTTACATGCCTGAACAAGGAGAGGGCATGTCAATGTGCAAACTTCAGCTGATGGATTTGAATGGTTGAAGTGCAGGATGGATCATAGCACCAGCCTTGGATTGGATTCTCAGATAAACTGGAGAGTTATGTTCGGATTGAACTTGCCCAAGTTTCTGCTCCAGTTTAGATGAGAATGGGTACAGAGGGATGCCCCTAAATGAGGGTTTAGCACTCTGTGGTACATGCTGGAGCATTATGCTATGGATCACAGCAACACAGTATCCACCCTTATCCTGCCAATGGACCTAGTGGTACCATATAAACCTCACGCGACATCAACGACATTACTACTCGATCTATATGGGATTATAAGGGAGATTTATCTTCGAGTCCGGCCACTGGAGACAATGTACACGCTGTCCTATTCTACCTCTGCTTTAGAAATTCATCAGTTTTCACGTTCTAAAGCAAGTTTTTTCCTCCCACCAAATTAAGCCGGGCCAGCAGCCGGTACACTGAAATCATGGCCCGAACTCGAACCTTTTCCCTCGGAGTAGGCTTCATTCTCGCATCTGATGCAACTACCATCAGTATCATCGACGTCTTCCTCAACATCTTCGCCATCTTCGATTTCTATAAACGTCACCGTCTTCGACCCATTCTCCTCCGCCTCCTCGGCAGATTTTTCCAATAACGCTAATATTTCCTTTAACATGTGCCATTTCTCGTCCGGTACAGATTGCTTTACGGGCTCCCACCCATCATCAGGACCGTAAAACGCATCGTCAGAATCGTACTCATCCATATCTCCTGCCGGAAACTCCAGTTCTTTAGAAACGGCAATCATCATCCTCTCTTCGATTCCCTTACACGAGTCGCGATGTCTCGTCCATGCATTAACGTCATAGTCTTCTTCGAAATTAATAACGCCAAGGCATCCAGAGCACCTCGCGCTCATTCGGAGGAGACTCGGCTTGAAGAGCCACTCCTCTTTAGCAAGGAAATTCTTGCGCCTGACAGCATCGCCTCCTTGCAGGTTTAAGAACCATTTATGTATACAGAGGACCGGCTGACGTATGTCCGATGTATCGTGGGTCAGGTAACGGAACGTTCGTGTTTGCGAAACTGTCGGTGGGATAAGAGACCCAGATGAAGACGTCGGTTTCCTGATCCCTGGTGATCTGTGCCACCGGTAAGTGAGGGGACCGAAGATATTCTCAGTTGTGCGATACCTTTTGCATTGAGAAATTATATCCTCCAATTCCTCTGTTTGCCAATGCCTGCCCGGATGGTTGGAAAAATTCGTGAAAATGCAGAGAATGGGACGGGGTAAGTAATTCAATGACAGCCACTGGTGACTGTAAGATTTCTGCATGGAGCGTCGCTGTCGCAATAATGTTTTCCAGAAAACTGATTCACGAGGCGAACTGATCTTCGCTGCAAACCCAACGAGATTTATAAAATGAAGAAGAGACCAAGGTTCAAGGCACCTGGCTGATGAGAGAAAAGAGATGAAATGCCGCAGTCGTCGCTGTATCCGTTCTACCCATTGTTCTCAATATAATATAACGGATGAACAATGAACGAACAATAGACCCCTATGGCCAGTCCGATATGGGGACAAAGGCGCAGATACACAGCCACCTTGGGCCGTGACACGTCTCTCTTGTTCCTGGTGTCAGCAGTTTACTTATGAAGGCGTCCCTTAGGCCTTTTGAAAGATATGATTCTTGATTGGAAACTGTAATTCTGTATTCATTAAATGACCAAGGCCTGACAGAGGATGTATACCCAGACATTGGACAACATGCTTGCTTTGAATAAAACCTGCGCTCAAGCAATGAGATCAGGGAATTAGAGGGAGAAATTATTTCGTCTATTGGACGTATTGACCGGCAAGCGAGGCAGGCGTGCCGCATAACGGAGCCACGCACCAATACCACGTTAGTCAATAAAAGTACATGGGTACGAAGTAAATGCTTCGTCAAAAATAACAACATCTAGCCCTTCATCTACGTACTTCCCTAACGTCCGCCGAACAACCTCAGAATAATATGGGTCTCCCCATCCGTACCAGGCATGCATTTCGAAGCGCCGTAAGCGCTCTGTATTCCACCGCGACTCTATCAAAGGCCCAAACGTTTCGTGAGTGAAGGATTGGCCCCCACATTTCGACGTCACATCAGTGATACACAACTCGATTGGATTCGGGACCAGGTCTCCGCCGTCCTTCCTCACTCGAAGGGAGATGAACGTATCGCATGCCGCCCAGTTCTCCACCGTGATGCTTAACTGTGCCAGATTGGAAGACATTGCTGAGATTGAGTATAGACAGAGGGGGAAATTCAATGATAGTGACCAAAGCGAAAATTGGGATGGTTCAATCATATTCATGCTGAAAATGTCAGAGGAAGAGTAGGGCTGAGCGCTGGAATGAGTTTTAAGCGTGAGATATTCAACATTGGGCAGACGAAGGCTATCTGTCATCTCCTGTATTGGTCCTGAGATAATATGTAGCCGGCAAATGTTGGGAAAGGTGAGTGTTATCGTCAGAGCTGTTTAGAGGAGAAGGATGTGTCGGTAAGGGCTCCCAAATTTTTGACCTCGTGAAGAAGGTTAAAAAGGTCTGTGGTATCAATTGCACTGCCAATAGAGATAAGCGTGCTGAAAGGCAGGTCGAGAGACGACAATGGTATCCCTGTCAATGATACAGCGCGAAGCTGTGGGGAATGAGCCAGAAGGTCTTTCGTCCCAAAATGCATGAATCCGGGATCCAAGGTGACATTTATTGTCCGTAACATAGGAACAGGGTTCAAACGATCGAAGATGTGATAGGAAAGGCGCGATATGTCGAATTCTACCACGGACTAACGAGAAGAGTGGGAAATTAGGAGATCTAGTATGGAGAATAGGAATGGAGAGATCGGGGAGGACTGATTGTGGTAAGATACCGAGATCGTGAGCGGGACGTGTGGAGCATGGATACAGACTGCGGACGTAGTTCTGCACCAGCCCGAATATCAATGAATATTCTAGACCACAGCGTTGAGACGGAGAGGTATACCGATCTCCACGAGTGGCAGATAATACCGAGGGTCCACGGGGAACAATTCGGGTCGATAGTATCAACGGGAAGGAGCTGGAAGATGTGTAGAAGCACATCGAGAGGGAGACGCCGTATTACAGCGAAAAGTGAATGATACATCCGCAGGTTATGATTAACCCTATTCCTGTGCTTTTGGAGACCCCTTATTGCGAGATCGAATGCTGTGACATGACTCTCCGATTTGTGAATGTCCTGTCTAATTCTTGCTAGGGCGATGTTGTCAAAGTCGAAGAGGGATCGTCCAGAGCGAAGGAGTCCGAGGATGGAATAAGTAGGAAGGTAATATGGATCTCCGTCGAAGGGTCTGGGAAGACGGTGGCTGGGGCAGGTGGTGAAGGGCATCATAGCCCTGACTTAAGGATGAGGGCTTCAAACCAGAGAAGCTAAAAGTGCGTATCAGTACACTGGAATGAATGAGATATAAATTCAACTCAGGTGGTCGACATGTAATAGAAAGTAGTAAAAAATGCCGACAGAATATTTGGACTCTTCAAGGTGCCTGTGAACCAGTAGGCGGAGCTTGGACGGAAAGTATCTTTCCGTTTGCGAACCAGATCCAAAAATATATCAGCTTAAAAAAAATCTACAGTATTAAGTGAGTTACCGGAATACGAAGTAGCATAAAAGCTTCAATAAACCGGCAATATTATAAACCGATGTAATGAGAAATAGATAAAACCCTCATGACAGCAACTATCCTAGCCATTCTTTGGCAAGAGCAATAGGAGCTGCGAGCACCATGGCCAATGCGACGCAAGCCAGTAATATCTCCTTTATTCCCGCCTTGAGTGTTTCGAATTCCGGCATACTCATCTCAGCCTTAGCATTGACATGTTCTCCCTATCAGACACGTCACGCATTTCTATCAAGCAGCGCCTACGCACAGGATTCATTAAATCGGCCCTCTTCGACTCCAGGGCTGATAATCTCATCAATCTCTTTCTCTATGAGAGATGAGTCAAGTGAACATGGACACGAAACTATACCTCACCTGGATGCATCGCAGTAAGGAATGAAAGAACGCTTACGCACTGCCAATGGTGCATTATGCCAGGTAGATTGCCGCCTACTCCTACTCGGGGTCCGGTCCTGGTGTCATTAGCTGCTTCAGTAGATGAAAAACGAAAACAGTCAGCTAAAATGATGCATCTGAGCTAAAGAAATTGTGGTAAATCTGTTCAAAATTCATTACAGATAGATCGATCCATTGAAATAGAAGGAACGGTCCAAGGGGACCCCATTTTAGGAGACAAGAGCCTAGAACGCCATGAAAAGGTCCCGCAGCCCAACAGGTCCTTACCTCGTTCTCACAGGGCTATGCCAAACAAAGCATGTCATTAAGGGAAGAAAACTTGACTGGACGTTTCAAAATACAACAAGAGAATAGATCACTATCACGACTTCATCAGCCCTGTAGGAACACGAATATCGGCGAATCTATTCACCTGGAAGTACATCTTCTTTCTTTGGTCTTTATGCACAGGCTTAAAGAACCTGCGGTACTTCTCAAGAATTTCTGCAGGCGTTCCCGAACCCGTATCTGAGGAGGCGCTCCAATCTTCGTCCATCCCCAAGGGCGAGTCGGGAGAGAAATGATAGTTTGCTCGGGAACATACCATGTCCGCATCTGGGATATTGAAGATTAACAAAAAGCGAGGGGATAAGAGCAAAGAAACTTACAATAAACGGGTGCTGGTATAGATACCGCTCGTGTCGACCTGGCGTATACGTAGCATAGAGCGTTTGTGAGCGTTTGAAGGTTGTCAGGACTGGGAGAAGGGAGCGTCAGTCCTGGAATACGGACTTAAGAGGATTTCCGACGTACGTCATCTGATTCTCCTGAAATCGAGGATAAATGTCAGCGATAATCCGTATAAGGACACGAGGTACTCACATCATGTAGAACCTTCGTAATCGGCATCATAAATACATGAGATATCGGAAGCATTGACTAAGACCTACCGAATAATGCGTGGGCCGACTGGTTCCCAACAATCCCCCATGACTCTGAAGATAAAAGTCAAATTCGGTGGGGTGGCCGATGCCTCGATCGACAACGGTGCCTGCTTGGCAATTGCCAGTATCATCTGCAGTTTCTCTGCTTGTCGGGAAGAACCTACTCATACAAAATATTAGACACGGCAAAGAGTAAGAGTATTCTCACCGAATATGATGACGCTTTGCAACAATGATAAACGTGATCTTGGCGTCCACTGCCAATTTCTTGCACGCCGCTACCAAGAGGAGATTAGGCGTCGTTTCAGGGAGATATCGTGATGCGTACCTTTCAGTGCTGCGAGTTCTGTAGATGATAACATGATTAGTATATCATTGTAATGTGCGGATACATACCAGTATCGAGAACCTCCTTAAATTGTCCTTCAGAAACACCATCTAAAAGAAACGGTGAACGTCAGAAGAGCATTCACGGAAGATTATCTCACCTCGATAAACAATGATACGCTTAGGCTTAATCTGCGCCGGAGTCTTCTTCTCCACGTGTTGGTGGTAGCCACAATAATCCATGATCAGCTCCTAAACAATTTCATGCTTTAATATCCGCCGACAGAAGAAAACCCAGCGCTAACCTCACACATGGCCTGGAAATGCTCGATGATTTCCTGTCGTCCTTTCTGGACTTGCATCGCTGCAAAAAACCGTAATATCAGCATGGTACGGCCAACCAGAGATGATCAGACATGCTCGCGACGTATCTTGCTGTGTGTGAGTCCACACTACCGACCGCAGCCGTGTACGACGGGCGGTCGTTAGCCCCGGGAGGAGGATGCATAACATCCGCACCTAATACTCGATAAGCAATGCCCAGATGCCAAAGAGAGAAGACCCACCGATGATCATAGTCGGGTACCGTGAGTCCGTCAGGGCAGTCACAGACTCTGACGACGGAATAAGATTGATTCCTCCAAGCTTGACATTCAGCCTAGTGCAGAAAACGATGAGTCCAAGGTCGCAAATAGTCGATTCGTGCCTTACTTCAAGCACACATTCGCAAAGTATTGCGGTTTGGCATACGAGCACTTGTGTCCAATCATGCATTGCGTCGGGATACCAGCCTAAGTACACCCTGAGCGAGGGACAAAAAGCAGGATGCTGAAAGATGCTTACAACACAATCACCGAAACTGAGTACGCATACGAGTAAGTCGCCGTGATCGAAGGGAAACAAAAAAAAACATACTGTTTTATCTTGTTGTAGATATCATTAGCATTCGTCGGCAAGACGGCAACGATGAGAGTTGGCTTCATTCGGGCAGCATCAACGAGGCCTTGTTCGACCGTACCTTGGCCATTGAACCACGTCGTTTGGGCTGGGTCGTCAATCTGGATACCTAAGAATGGCCATGGCATAAGACGATGATTTTTACGAAAATTAAGACATACGCACCGACTTTCTTACACGCATCGATAAATGCTTTAGTCATTTTTGAACATGTCACCGGGTCAAAGTGCTTCTTTAACTCGAATATGATCAGCACCCACTTCGTGACACGTTTCGGCTCGAAGAGGTGTTTGTCCGTCCTGTAGGCGTAAACATTTAGAAGGATATAATGGAGAAGGGGAAAGACGAAATGTACATGTTCCATTTCCCATCCTTAGGTGTCTGTAAACCAAAAGCGATCAGAAACGCCAGTATACGATCCAAATGGATAACAAACATACAATTGTCTTTTGTCGACTGTTCTTACCATACTCCAGGACAGGCGGGACCAAGATTCGCGCGTTAACCTCGAGAGGTTCGCGAGAGGTTACGGTCATGCCAAAATGCTGCACGTACTCCGAGCGACCATACGCCAGTACCTATCATGAGTGAAGGCTGTCAGCCGGACGGTACACTCAAATGAAAATAGAAACATGCATCAAGTCCCTGCGTGATACTCCTCAGTCGGTCATTCGGCTTCATCGTCGAGAAGTCTCGAACTTTCGCGATGACCTCTCCCGAAATTTGCTTCCGCATGATCTGGCCAGGCTTGATATAGCAGAGCTCGATAGGTATGAAAGCACCATTCCCGATCTATCCATAGATAAATACCTCAATTGACATGAAACATCACTCGGTCCTCACCTCCGCACAAATGAAGTCGGGGTACTGTAAGCGCACATTATACATCCGCTGGAGATGGTCCACGACGTTCGTCAGTCCATTCTGGGGGGACGTGAACCACATGGCACGAGCTCCCTCCAACGATAGCTTCCTCACGACCCTTTCGAGATCCGACCGCCCAGGGAACCTTACCGTAACACGCACGCCGCTAATCTGTCTACTCAGTTTGCGGATATCACTAGCGGTAAGCCCCGGACCAGGGATGAACGTCCTCGGGTTCAAGGCTGTGTTCTTCCTTCCAAGCATCTGCAAAAGAACATCAGTTAGTGTCCCAGGCATGTACATCGCCCCCGTGGAAATATCGATGTTGATGAACATCGATCCGATGGTGGGTCGCACGGACTGGAAGTATCCCCGCCAGAGCTGGACGCCGAGTCCGACATTTGAAATCTCAGAGTCAGTGAAGAAGGAGCGGATGTTAAAGGGGTGGTTGAGGGAAGGTTCCATGCGTACAACGACGTTCAGAGCCTATGTCAAAGGAGGATGTTGAGCCTTTGAGAGCGCAAAGGTGATTGGAGACACACCGTGATCGCCGTCAAGACACTGTTCTCGAGTGACTGATTACCCTCGATAAACCGTTTTAGAACCCTGTACATCAAGTCAATTCAGACAGAGGAAAACATAAATACGAATCGACGTACTGTGGGTTGACGACTGAAGCCTCCGTAAGCTTTATCTTGAAGACGCGTGGTGGAGTTGAATTTGGGCCCGACGGTTTGTTTCCGTATGGAATCTTGAACTGTAACAATTGCCTGAGCCACTGATCACGTACACCAGGAATGGACGACATACCTCGACCGAACCTTTCTCGTCAACGTCGAGTCTCTTGACCGTGAATGCAATCTTGCGTCCATCGTAAACGGCGCGAGGGTTGAAGACCTCAGGCGCGATCTCCGTCTGAAGCAGCTTGAATAGCTCCATGTTAAATCGAGCTGGAAGAGTCACCATCTTGTCCGATGAGACGACTAGAGATGTGAGATTACAACACGATTGTGAAGGATAAAAGAAAAAAATCAACATACCGACTATCCCGAGAGATCAGCATAAGTGGAACAATCAAGAATGCGAAACTCACCGTCGTACTGGTAAATGGTGCATTCGGGCACCGTAGTAGGGAAGGCATTGATCTTAATTTTGACCAATCTACCAGTGGCACCGAACGCCGATCGCTTGACGCCAACCGTCGTAATATGGTCGCCACTATTCAAAGCTGGGATGACTTGCAGGCGGGGTGCACCGCGACGCGCTCCTCCACGCAAACCGAGAATCGCAGGGCCAGCAGGACGGGAAAGGGCTTGAGTTGATTTTGGGGGCATTTGAACGATGAGATGGGTGGTGGATAAGAAACAATGACATGCTAAAAAGAAACGGTTAAAAAGCGTCTTCCTTTGTTCTCCGCTTTGAGTCAGTTCAGGGCCAATTCGGTCCGAAACCGTAATTATCAGTACATGTGTAATGGGGAACCGAAAACAGTGCGAGCTGTTTCCAGAGAGATCAGCAACATGAGCAGAAGGTCCTGGTTACCGTCCTGTTCGAAAGACAAGGACTGATAGTTGTATTGAAAGTCGAACGCATTGAATGCTTGAAGAATGAGATAGCAATTCGGAAACACTGCCTCAACATCCCCTGAGACAACGTGGAGACCCTGCGAGTGCATATTAGGCGGCAATAAAAGTGAGAAAAGATTGCATACCTTCATACGCGGGGAAATTGTACGGACACTCTGCGAGCTGTTTGAAGCGTCCGTGATTCAAGAGCTTCGCTAGATGAGCACCGCTGCAGGGAGCTCACAGCACTTGCAAGATCCCTCACTCAGATTGAGAATTGCGACCTCCTCTTTAGGTTCGCACTTTCACTGTCTGGACCGACATTCAGAGATTAGATACCAAGAAGAGTGAACTTACAGGCTTGATATCCGGAACAGTGTGATTTTATCGAATGCGTATGGACCCATCTACCGTCTACAAAGAGTTCGGTATTAATGGCAAGTGAAAACGTAGCTAAATACATCACGCACCAAAAAACACAGTTCTTAGAATCTAGAGACGGTGGTTTGTCACGCCTTGTTCTTTGCCACCATTTGTCGTATCATCCCAAGCTCCAAGAAAATAGGGATCCATTCAGCAGGGATGTATTTGTTTCTTGTTTTGGACGTATCCTATGACTTAGAGACGACAGTCAAGCGGTTATTGATGAAACAAGGCTAAGAATGTAGACATACAAACCGAACCAAAGGCATACTGCTGGATAAGAAGGAGCAACTAAGGAGCGCAACGTTGAACGAGAATCGAACGACGGGGCTGATAGAGATTCAACCCAAGTAGAGCAATAGACGGTCAATGAACGCACCTTCAGACAGTGTATATCGCCTTAACCGATGTACAGCAACGCCAGATCTATAGAATCAAGCTATGACAGTACAGGAGTTGGATTGGATATATTTTCTTGAACTCGTTCGAAGGTCAGGAATCAGACGTCCGTTTTCACCTTATTTGGTTGTGAGAAGTCCTTCCGTTGCGGAATCTCCTAGCCTTTATTTTTGAAGCTGCAGATAAGGATAGGAATGAAAATGTTTTCCGAAAGAAAATCCTGTATGAGCACGGTACCAATATTGCCGAGACGGAAGAGATCCTAATCCTTGTATGATACTATTCATTTTACGTGCAAACTACCGTCAATAAGGGAATGGCTCTTCCTTGTGAACAGCAGAATGGTGTCTGTCAATCTCATCGTGGTGGTGGTGTTAGGAAAACATAATCAAGGGACGCACCGGGTTAGTCAGCGCTTGGGTTAGGGTTATCACGAGCCACCAGGACTCGCCGCCATCTTACTTAGGTTTTGCGCCTTGTTCACAAAGAGCCGCGGCTCTTCCAAATTTTTGGGCATGAATTCGTCTTTCAACTTCTGGTACATATTCCGCGAAGGGGGTATCGGGCCGTTCCGTGCCAGGGGTACGTAGTCGGTTCAGGCCTGGATCGGAAACAAAGTCGACCTTTTAGGGAAAATTGACAACGTTTCGGGACTGGGAATCAAGTTTAGTGTTTAAAGGCTTTTTCTGAACCCTAATAAAACTGCGAACACCCTCTCTGATACGTTAATGTAGGATGTAGCTGCTCATCGGTCTGAGAAAGAGGCACATGTAAATAATTAATAACTGATATGACGCTAAACAAGCGCTAGCCGGAAGAACGGCCCGAGTTAAATCACCGTAAATTATCGTTATCCTAACCGAAGCCACCACCATCAAAATTCGTCGATCCATTCTTCTCTCGTGCCCTCTGCGATCGCTCTCATAACGAGAGAAGGCAAACTATTCTGTGAGTATTTATTTATCTTATTCACATCTTACTGAAATGCTAGATTTTCAATGCAAGACTTGGTTACGGGACCAATTCGATGCATAAAAATGACAGTCGCGCCGATATGTTTATTGAGAAGCATCTTATTCTCCCCATCTCACGGAACAGTGGTATAGCAAGCGTTTGGCGAAGGACTTAGGAGCGGATAAGGCCATGAGGTGGGCCGGACCGACGGTGAAGACACGTCTGGAATGTTATGGGTGTATCAACTCCTGCACTGGTACATGTTTTTTTGGATGCCCTCCTAGAAGACTCACTCAAATTTTCGTAGTATCCTTTCAGTACGCAAGGAAAAAAAATACTGGTTTCGTCAGATTGCAGAACCTTTCTTTGCCAAATTTGTGGATTCCATGGTATACCCGGGCGCCGTGTCATGGTCCATTTATGTCCAGAGCTCTATGCTAACCTGGAGTACAAAGTAAAGTCATTAGTTGCCTTGATGAAATCAGAAAGGAAGGCTTTATATTGAGCCGTGCGGCCGGTCACCTATTCATTTCACCTACCCTTCAGCGGACCCTGCAATCTACGTATCAGTCACCGGAATCATTTGCTTACGACCAAACATACGGGATGTTTTAACCATCATCCCATTGTCCAATCTCGGCATTGTTCTTCATTTGGCCCTACGCCTCTCCTTATCAGCAGGTGGACAACGTCTGCTTCCCTACCTCACCGCTAAAGCTCACGCTGTAGGTCTTCAGCCATCCTCCCGCAGCCCCCCTGCCCCTGACCGCTCTGCAATCATAGTATCCATAATATCTTACGTAGAAAATATACTATCCACTATACAATCCACCCGCGCTCTTCTAGACGGTCTCCTGGCGGGATACCACTGGATATCGACCTCTAATCATTCGCCCGAGTTCAGCACACTTTGGGGCAGCAACGCGGTGCCCACAAAGTTCCAAGCTGGCCAGTTGGAGGCCTCAATCAAAATCCTAGACACTCCCATCAGTGAAATTCAGGCCGAGATCGACCTGCTCCGTAACGCAGTTGCATCCTTGGAATCGCGTGTGTCACGTCTCACGGCAATTAGACGCGACTACAAATCAGTCTCGTCTCCACTCCGTCATTTGCCCGCAGAGATACTTGCGGAGATCCTGTGCTGGACTCGAAAGCCTCGTAGTAATTCCAGGTCAAAAGGGCCATATTACGTCTCTGGGATCGATATTTGCAGGATTGAAGAGGGGCCGTGGTATCTCGGTCAGGTCTTCAGCGCCTGGAGAAAAGCCATCGAGAACCTCTGTCCCGAACTATGGTCGTCATTGACAATAACCGTTCCTCAGGACGACGACTTCCCTCTCCTCCTTGTCTTCAAAAAGGATATGGTAGCTCTGCTCGAACGCGCGCTCGAGCGAGGCCGTGGATATCGTCTTGACTCTTCCTTCAGGTATTCTGTATATGGCGTGATTTCGAATGGACCTGAGGACGAGGTGCGATCTGAAGAAGCAGAAGTCATGAGTCGGTGTTTCTTTCTTTTGTTGGCCCACTCGATGCGCCGGGGATCAGTTGAGCTGATCATACCCGCGTTTCTGCTTCCTCCTATCTCCGATATCCATGGGAGAATCAACAAGCTTCAGGACGTATACTTGCTATGCCAATGACCGGCTGGACAGGGATATCGACGCGTTCGAAATCGCACCCAAGCTGAAAACCCTCCATTTGACAGGTATGCACCCGGAAGCCATTATCCCGTTTCCTCGTGCGAACCTAGTCTCGTTTTTGGATGCAAGACCACTTTCAAGGTCTCAGGGAACGCCTGAATATCTGGATATCATCGCATCAGCTCCCAACATTCTCTTGTTCTCTTATCATCACCACACAGTCATCCCTCAATCTGCTGGTTTGCAATTCCCTATCGTCAGAAACGTATCCCTTCGAACGCTTTCAGCGTCGCTGGGAGGATTCCTCTCTAGTCTCGACTTGCCGGGTTTGACGAGCGTGACGCTCACATCGGGCTGCAAAATGACTAAGGTCGTACATGCCGATGCGATTGTATGTCCTGCAGATGCACTGACTGGGCTTCAAGTTCTGATTCTTCGCTCTCGGTGTTCTTTGACAACACTTCATCTCGTCGACGTCACGATGGATGACCACTTCCTTTCTATCCTTCAGCTATCTCCCCAACTCCTGTCACTTACCATCGAATATCATGTGTGGACTGACGAATCCAGTGTCGCCACTATGAGCCGTCTTTTTCATCAAATGACGGAAACCCGACTTATAGGAGACAATGTCCATTACACCCTGGTTCCTTCACTAAAGGAACTAGCTATTATTATGCATCAAGTGGATGATTTGCCCGTCAATTTCCTCAACCAGGACTTTTTGGACATGGTTACCGCACGTCGAATGCTTCGTCATGAATCTCTGTTTGAAATTCTCGAAGTCAAGGTTGCAGGGAGGTCATGGTATGTGCCTTTCTTACATAATGGTAGTGGTGATGTGTTGGACGACTTGGAGTATGAGGTCCTTCATATTCATTTGGACTTTGATGATCAGGAGGAGCAAAATTTGGTCATGGAAGATTATACCAGTGGTTTTGAGAGTGATTAAATGGGGTTTACAAAGCGAAAAGCTGTTTGGTTGCATACGAGGATCTGTGTACCGGTGTTACAGTTTAGGGATAATAATGGTGTTCCATTCTTACTACCAGATAATAATCATACAAGTTTTATAGTATTTAGAAATTTTATGATAAAAAAATCCAAAGCAATAAACCAATCCTCCAAAATTTGAACTTTTTCGGTTCAGCGCCAAGGTATGAACGGGCCTGAATCCTATTTCGGTACGGCTCTGGGCCTTCCGGCTTCCGTCATTCCTTTCGACTAACAACATTCCATGTTCCTCGTAGAGCTGCTCTGGTAAAGACCGTCGATTGCCCCCGCGTAAGATCTCGCTTATATCATGACCTGCACGTCAACTAACCACTTTGCAGTAAAGTTATGATGCTATCAAAAACAAAGTCGGTGTCCACCCGTTCCTTGATGACCTGCTATCCAAATACGATTGGACGTCTGGTCATTCTTCCGATCTTACGATACTCATACACACCAACACCGTACCAAGAGCCTTCCAAGCTGTTCAGTTGGAGGCATCAATTGAGAGCCTTGATGCGCCCATCTCCGAAATCCAGAGAGAGATCAGTCTACTGCGGAGTGCAGCTACGGCTCTTGAGACGCGGATGTTTCGACTCAAAACAATGAGGCACGATTTTCGGACAGCATTATCCCCTATCTGTCGCTACCCAACGAAATCCTTGTTGAGATTTTCTGCTGGACAGCAGAAGAAAGTACGGAGCCCAGATCCATGGGACCCGACTGCGTCTTTGGATTCAATGTGTTGAGTATCGCGGAAGGACCATGGTATCTCGCCCAAGTGTGCAGCTCGTGGAGAGGTGTGGTTGGGTCTCTCTTTCTTGAGATCTGGTCGACGGTGGAGGTCAATGTGCCACGTAAAGCTGTTGGATAGGACGATGAATCGAGTGTCGCGGTCCTCAATAAGAACATGGTCGCTCTTCTTGAATGGGCCCTTGAGTATAGTCAGGAGCATAACCTTGATTTTTTCTGCAGGCATGAGGACTCTGACGAGATGGAGGGGGAATGATCCGCAGAGCAGCTGGTCGAAGATGAAGTGATGAACCAGTGCTTTTATCTTTTGGTGACCCATTCGAAGCGCTGGGGATGCATAGAACTGATCATGCCTCCATCGCTTCTGTCTCGTCTCTCCATTGTTCGTGGCAGGCTCGACAGAATTGAAGAGGTATCCTTGACATGCGGAGGGAATACTAATCCTGGTGCTGTTGATGCGAGCTGCAAATATTCTATTTGATAGGCATGCACATGGAAGCAGACGTCTCATTCCCTGGGGAGAATTCATCTCATTCTTAGATGCGAGGAGGCTCATAGATTATAACACCAGACCAAAATATCTGGATATCGTCACATCAGCTCCTCGTCTTTTCTCCTTTTCATATCATCATCATAGCCTTATCCCTCAATCCTCTGATCTGCCTTCTTATTTTGTCCAAAATGCATCACTTCAGAAGCTCTCAGCGTCTCTGGGAACGGCGTCATTTTACCCCGTCTGAAATGGATGACTGTGACGTCTGGTTGTGATAATGACGGTCCCGTGGATTCAACGCTAATCGAGTGCTTTCTCGATGTGTTCTCCCACCTTCATTCACTCATCGTTCGCTATGAATGATCCCTGACAGAGCTCCGTTTCGTTGATGTTCAGATGGATGACCATTTGCTCCTCATACTCAAGCTAACACCCCAACTCATCACGCTCGGCTTTGAATGGAACCATCTGTTCACACCCCTCAGGCCGCAATTCATCGTTCACAGTCTTTTCGTCGAAATGTCGGAGATTATGCGTGTTGGAGATGGGGACAGTTATGCCATTCTTCCGTGTTTGAAGAAGCTTGAGTTGGACATGGAGGAAGTTAACCTTACTTCGGTCCCTTTTCTTGACACTAACGACTTTGTGGACATGATTTCCTGCGATGTGAAGTTCGCGCTGGCATGCAAAGGCTTGAAAGTCTTCACGTAATTTCTAGATGCGGCTTTTATTTGCCCTTTCAAGATGAGGATGGTGTAGAGTTTCTGGCGCGTTTGAGAGACGATGGCCTTGATATTTGCTTAGGTATCCATGATCATGAATATGACCGGCAGACGTATATAGGACCCGATGATGATTGAATCATTGGATTTAAGAAAACTAGCGTTATATGTTGATACCACAACCGTAATGATTGTTTTCCTTTGCCGCTAGTGCAGAGAGGGAGTGGCTCTCAGCTGTAATCACTGACTCATCGAAGATGTTTGGATCAGGCTCAGGTAGTACCGGAGACTAGGACTCTACTGGAACAGGGGATGCTCAGTATGCTATCCATGGGCAGTATTTGCAAAGTCTGCAAACTGGACTGCCATGAATCTCTGGAGTTACCACGGTACATCTTCTGAATACTGGAAATATGTTACACAATTCTAAATATAATCAGCGTGGTTGAACTCCTGAATTTATTGGACAGTTACCATGGGCTATGCAGTTTTCATGGACATCATTCCCATGGACTGATTTTAGAAAGCAGACCAATAATTGCTGAAATATTTTGATGAGTATATGAAGTACATGTCGTTCTTCATCCATAGTGAGGCCTGCTGGGAGAGAAACAGGATTTTTAGATGTCGTAACGCCTTGGTGATCAATATCGTCAATGTAAAGCATAAAGAAGGTGTGGAAGACATGTGGAACTGATATTTGTTGATGGCATTCATAGGTACGTACCGAGTGGATGATTTTTTATGCACTGTCTAAGATCAATTTTAGCTTCAAGAGATCTGGGAAATGCGGTGAAGACCATTAATGAACTACCAGAGGGTTACACGGGCAGGATGAAAATCATACCGAATGACCTCAATCCCATGTCGTCCGCCAAAAACGATTTATTCTCGTCAGTCTCAGGGCTATCCTGGACATTGTTACTATAAGTGATTGTTTTACTGCTCTTTGTTAATGTACAGCCGCGGAGGGAAACGCCAGAGAATGCTCTTCATCTGCGACACTCTATTTTTCAGCCTATCTCTTACCAGACTCATATACTTGCATAAATTCCCAAGTCTCAAGGACTTTAAAATTCTCCGTCCTTGTTCGTCCGGATTGACTAGGACCAGACTCTAGCGCTACCATTCCTTACATGTGAAACTGCCTACAACAACCGTTTTTTTTGTTGTATGTGCGAAAACGCCCTGTCTGCAAATAGAAGAACACGATTTTCCAGAGGTCTAGGTGCCGTGCTAGATCACAAGCTCTCCAACATGATCCCTGGGCAGCTGATATCGGAAGGAACTTTCAATCAAATTCACAAGCCTGACCAAGACCAGGAATCGCGCAAGAGCCCCATCTTGCCCATTACTTTACCGTCCCATTACTTGACACTGGAGAAACTAGTGGACACAATAGAGAGCGTCACGGTGGTGCATCACGAGGTACGTGGATTGGCCCCATCTTTGCATAATTTTATACATAACCCCGAACCAGGATCATCTCTTCCATCGTATCTCACATCCTCATTGGAGGCAACGTGCCGGTGCCTCAGGATCTCCTACGGACTATGCCCTTCCATGCAAGCAGTGACGGAAGTAATGAGACGAGCTCGAGGGTTATATGAAGGACTAACCTGATATTGTCGACAAGCTCCGAGCTCGTCATATCCTATCTTTCCAGAGCAAGGGTCCTCAACGGCGAAGAGACCATCATCCACACCTGCTCCCGCAGTGTTCGTTCCAACAGCCTTCATGTATCACGCGAAGTCTGTGAGGCTGCCCTACGGATTACCGAGACTTATTATAGCATATGAATGTCTCCACGACGAGGAATATTATGCTGCTGATTGCAGGTTATTCTTTCCATGGGTAGCAGGTGAAACGGTGATCCCAGAAAAGCTTAGCCCATATGCTAAACATTCGGTCTCCGGAAGGATCCTGAGGGTGCTCGTTTTGTTGGCCTTTGACGAAAGTATTTATTTCAATTTGCATGAGAGTATATAGTATTGATAGCCAACATGCACTTGATGACGATGAGCATCATAGAGTTCTCCCTTCTCCTTTATCCATAGGCGATATGGTTCTACAAGCTAATAGCCCAAACTGGAAACGACTTTGCGTCCTTGTCTGTTTACCAAATGCTGTATCATAGACAGGATTTTCGTATCGAACCTGTCGCGTCTCGCTTGGACTTTATGCTTGGCATTTCTCATGTTACTGCAACATCTTGGAGGTGAGCACTTATACCACCAAGAAACAAGAAATATTTGGAATGATCCAAAAGTTGAAGTTCGATGGTTTAGTGATGGAAAGCTCTGAATGAACGCCTTTTTGGGTTCCTGCCCCGGGCGCTCAGCAAATTATCGCTGATCATCAATCGAAGATCACTCTTCGGGTATCTCGCGGCCGCCCATAACGCTGTTTCCATAGACATTGTATTTAATGACGATCTTACACATGCTTTGATATCCGAGCACCAATATTCTGGTGAGAAACCGGCGAGTCCTTAAAGTGAATAGCCCTGAGTACGTATCCAGGGATGAATGGTCAGACATCATTGATATACTACGGACTTGTTTTCTCCCAAAAATCCACTTGGATTCACACTGTTGTCAATCGTTTCTGCTTCTCACGGGAAAAATCCAAGCCGCAAAGGTGAAAAATTATGCATTTAAATTATGCTTCGGATTCTCTCGAAATCTCTCTCGTCTACGTGCCCGTATGACATTCTACCTCGCCATCCAACTATAATTTTAAACACGACCACCGTCCCATACCATTGACTCGAAACATCTTCAGGATGGTACCACTTGTGGTAAAAGTCCGTCATGCGGTTAAGCAGCCGGCCGTTTGTTTTTGCCTTTGCAGAGAAACAGACAAGATAGCTCTGCCCCCCGGATGATGACATGGTTTGGTAGTTCTCCAGGCGCTCCTCTGCATACCTCGACAAGTCCGGCATCGGGTACGGGTGGTTGTACGTGCATTGGAAGATGACACGGTTAACGCCATTACTGTCTAGTGTGTACTATGAGCAGAAATTCAGCTTGAGAGCAGTGGACTTCGCACCTAGAGGGGGGTCTGGGAGGAATTCGTACGCATATACCTCGAATTTTGACATTGTAATGGCAGCAAATGGATGAAGTACTGTGATTAAATATTGTAGCTGTTAATATCGGAGACGGACCGGTTTGCGCGTGTTCATTGGCGCGGATACACACGCTACACAATAAAACGAGATAGAGTTTGGCGTCAGTGATGTACCCGGTGCCGCACGATGGTTGCGACTAAGGGGGTCTCACCAGTTTGCTACGAGCTATGAGTACAGTTAAAGAACAAACGCAGAACATTTCGTACCCACTCATGGAAAGAATATCAGTCAAGTGAAAGGAGGAGACAATGGATGAGTCGCATTTACTGCAGTAGGGAGCCTTGCTATCTGCTAATATTTAGGATAATCAGCTATTCCAGATATTCCGTTGTCGTGAGAAGGCCGGTCGCATGATTGATTATTGAGTGATGACTAGCCGTTTATTTGATGGAAGAAAGCTTCGAGCCATGCTGCGGCAAGTGTGGAAATGATAGGTCATTGGGGGTGCAAGAATAGATAACAGATATGCATCTGTGGTGTCAGCACACTATATATAAATGTTCGGTTAGAACAATCCGTTGTCTAGAGGGCTCAGTATACATTTACACTTCCAATCAGGAAGGATAGAAAGAAGGGATTCTGGGGCTAGTATACGCCCTGATCGGCTTCTGCCTTGCCTCACACTGTTTATTCCTAAGATTAGGCACGGGTCTGATAAATAGATACTGTATCAGAAAACATTCACGAAAGCTGAGTTGTATGCAGAACATTGCCGTAAACGACGATAGATTGGGGTTGCTGTTCCGATCTGATAGTAGATCTGTTTGGGTAATATAGCTAGATGCGGCATTCGTACCGGTACTTACAGAAATCAAAGCAGTTGCGCATTAGAAGATCAATATTACTTACTGAGCACTTATCTTATTCCATTATTTGATACTCCTTGCCAAGCTTTTCTGTGTCGTAATGGTACAGGAGGCAGAGGGACGATGGTGAGGAAGGAATAGCGAAGTAAGTACACCGTGCAATGGACTTGGACATTGGGTAGACATGGATAATGGGGAAGGGGAGTTTGTGAGTCACAGACCAAGTTTGTATGATAGGCTCATTACGCACTAGGATCTGACTTTCGTCGGAAGGCATTGGAACCGTATCGCTAGGTCCGTGATAGTCGGGGGTCTAGCTTACAGACACGCGGAAATCTGCGGTACTACTTCACATGATCTCGGAGGAACCGGTCCGTGCCAATGCTCCCAGCATTCAAGCACCAAATGTTGCAGTTGCGATTCTCATACCTTTTCCATCAGTGAAAATTCTGGAGAATGGGTACACCTTCAGCTCAACTACTGCTCTGGTTGTTAGATGTACTGAGCTCTGAGCATAGTTTCTTTCTTGTGAATGAAGAATTCTTTGCTATCAGATCCATGGCTGGAAATTTGTCTCTGACACAGTGTACTTGGTCATGCTCTTCTTAATATATTCCTAGTTCATTCTATGGAGCCTTATCTCAAAAATAAATCTTACTTTAGTTGTCAATATTGATTTTCTCATAGTAGTCATCTCCCTGAAATGCTCTGCTCTCACCATTGGAAATCAGGAATCAAGTTTGCTCCTCTTGTTTCATCTTTTCAGCAATTGTTTGCACATCCTTCCAGCTGTTTATCTGCAATTCACTGCTACAGTCATTTAAAATTGTAGACCAGCAGTGAATGTTTCTGTTTGTATCTCTCTAAAGAGGAACTTCTATAGCCTTTCAGGATGGAAATTGTAGTCTCATATATTCCACCTTGTAAGTGGTGGATAGTCAGATGCTTTTCCTCTGGATGAGAGATGTTTGATTTGCATCATGGCCAGTGAATCAATTTATAAGCATATATCTTTGAATTTCCTCCATAATATTTCAAGGCAGAGTGGTATTTCATTTCTTGAAATGTAAATGTGATAGTTCTGAATAACTTTTGTCTTGACATGCAGAGCTTTTTCTTCTTTACAAGTCTCAGTCTCCCTAAATTCATGCCATTCATTTCACAAAAGGATAAGACCCAGAGATACTATCTCATTGTGATGATATATGGAGAACTGAAATCCTCAAACTCATTATTGTTAGATCCAGGCATAATATGAGTTGAACTTATGATAAACCAGTGTTGTATTGTGTTCATACAGTCACACTGGAGTCCACTTCTGTTGTTCTACTCATTGTGAGGTTCAAAGCTGTTACAAGTAGGCTTGAGATTGGATAGTGTAGAATAAACTTTAGCTTGAAGCTGAGTCTACTATAGCAAGAGTTATGCTGCCTATATACATTTTGGTCTGTGATAAATATAGTCTGTCCCATTGTAGCTGTCTGTGGGGTGGAACTAAAGAGTGTGTTACAGGTGCATGAAACAATGAAGTATGTGCATCATCAAGGCATTCATCAGCAAGGCATCTATCACAAGTCACAGTACAATGGTGCAGATTGTTCAATATAAATGTAGTTATCAGTCCAGCCAGATAGATAATGAGTATGCACCTGTGATTAGATAGGCACTTGATAAGATAAGATAAGTATGAAAATTGTAACAGTTATGAGAGACAAATTGAGGATTATTTTCCACTGTGTATATGGCCTGCATATTCAGAAGAAATGTATTTCCACTATTTATAGCTCAGCTCTAACAAAAAGACCATTCACAGTAACCCTCACCAGTTTTTGATAAGTGTTCCTTGAGAAACAGCACTTCTTGTTCTAGCATGGATGAAGGAGGTTCATCTGCACCATCATTAGCACCATTGCACTGCACTTTTACAATCATGATGAAAGATCTTTGAGAACTTGCACTGTTCAAATAATCCTAGATAAACAATGATGGCAGAGGCTCTAGTGAGATATAAAAATTTGTGAATAGCTGTCTCTGAGAGTGTGTTGATAATTGTCTCTATTATTGTCTTTAAAACAAAATCAGAGCTGATAAATATCAGTGCAATGTTGGAGAGAATGTGAAGAACCTACTCATTACATCTTTGTTCAGCATTAAAGTTGGTGATAGTCTTCTCTAGCTGAAGTGAGCCTTTATCCAGCTTTCCTCTTGCTGATATTTCTTGACTTCATGCTCAATAGGTAGGATCATGCCATGATATCATGGTGGTATTCCTGAGGAATTGCCACCACTCTGAGCTGTTAATCATGAAATACTATTGATTAATGATAAAGCCAAGTATAATTATTACTTGCCTCATTGCCCTGACTCTATGAAGAGTAAACTAGCTGAGAAATTGCTCAATATAAGAGAACTCACTGGTGGAAACTTGTGTCTCTACTCAAGCAGCTCCAATGTTATGCATCCTGAAAAAGGATGGATCAGATATTTGGACCACCATTGACTGTTAGAAACATAATAAGAACACTCAGAGGAATGTTACCCCCTTTCCAGATCAAGATACCATTCTCCTTGACATTGCTCAAGCTAAGTTATAACCAAAGATTGATCTTTCTAATGCATATGAGCAAGTTCATATTGTATCATCTGATGTATGAAAAACAGCATTTGCCACCATTTTTAGAACTTTCAAGAGTAATATAATGCAGCAAGAAGATTGTAATGCTTTTTTCACATTTTAAAGACTCATAACATCAATCTTTCATGATTATATTGGTGTCTTCATGCATGTATATCTTGATGACTTGTTCATTTATAGTGACAGCATTCAAGAAGATGAAAAACACTTAGCACTTGTATTTGGTAAACTTTATGAAAACCAGCTATTTATGAAGGCAGAAAAGGTTCAACTTTACACTGATAAAATGAACTGCCTTCATCATCTTGTTGATGATAAGGGTCTCTATGCTGATTCTGATAAGCTTGACTGCATCTGAAACTGGAGACAGCCTCAGAACTACAATGATACTGAGAAATTCCTTGGACTAGTGAATTATCTCATTCACTTTCTATCAGATGTGACTGCATATACTGCTCCTCTATCTGAAATGACAAAACATGGATGGCCTTTCTACTGGTGCCCACTCTATTCTGTCTGCTTCTAATCAATCAAGGATTTGTGCTGCAAGATACCAATCCTCTGCTCTATTAGCCCTTCTGTTAAGGAGCATATATAAGTTATCTGTGATGCCTCTATATCTGGCATGGGTGCAATATATGGTCAAGGATCTACCTGACAAACCTGCTGTCTAGCTGGGTTCATATCAAAGAAGTTCACAGACAGCCAGCATAATTACTGTGTTTTTGAAACTGAAACTCTAGCCATGCTTGAAGCCATTCTTAAGTTGAGGAGAATCTCATTAGCTGTCATATTTATGTTGTGACTAACTATAAGGCCCTTGAATTCTTCAAACTCAACATCAGCTATCAAACTCTCAAATGCAGTGGATAGAATATCTCTCATGCTTTGACTTTGATATCACATATGTGAAGGGTGTAACCAATAAGGTTGCAGATGCCCTATCATGACCAATTGGCTAAGTTTGTTAATGCCAATATCTGCATTGACAAAATTGGTGAAGACCTACCTCTAGGATGTAAGAAAGAGGCCAAGAAAATGGTTGTCCAATTTCATGTGATAAAACCACATCAAGAGTTTAAATGCTTCACAGGAAAGCATGAAACTCAAGATCTTGAAGCTGAAGAAATGAAGAATGCTGGGGAACACAATAAACCTGAACCCATTCAATCATCTAATAACAATCCTACTGTCTTTGACTCTAGAGACAATGAGAAAAACTTACAGACTGTTATGGATATGGACCCTACATTCATATCTGATGTATTGTCTTTATATTCCTCAGATCCCATATTTTCAAAGGTGCTCAAAGCTTCCAATGATCATCCTTGCTTTTTCATTGAAAAAGGCTTAATTTAGTCAGAAATTTCATACAAACCTCATGATAGGTTATTTTTCATCCCTAAATCATGTAAGGGCATGCATTCACTTTGAGGAAGCATTATTGAACAAGCTCATGAAGTGGTAGGACACTTTGGTCTGCAACACACTGCTGAGTACATCCATCATTGGTATTGGTGGCCAAAGCTTTATGGCATGTGTGATTTCTTCTGTCATACATGTGAGACTTGCAACAAATCCAAGGGAAACTATAAGGCTCCTGCTGGGAAGTTTCATTCAATGCCTATACCCACACATCTATGGCAATCTATTAGTATGGATTTTATTGAACCATTTTCTGAAGTTAAAGGTTATAATTACCTCTGGGTCATTATCTGCCAGTTGACCTCTCAAGTTCATTTAATTCCAGTTCATACATCTAATACCACCACAAATTTATCTGTGATATATTTCTGTGAGATCATAAGACTACATAGTCTTCTAGAATCCATTGTCTCAGACAGAGATCCAAAGTTCACCTCAGTTTGATGAAAGGAATTATGAAGATTGCTTAGTAGTAAGCTCCTGATGTTTATCTCATTCCATCCACAGACTGATGGAGCTACAGAGTGAGCTAACCACTTTATTGGCCAAATTTTCAGAACCATAATTTGTCCTGATTAACAAGATTAGTTGATTAAGGTACCTATTACTGAATTTGCCATTAATTCAAGCATGAATGTATCTACTGGATTTGCATCTTTTGAACTCATTGGAGAATATATATCTTTAATGATGAGAGAGGTTCAGTATGAGGAATTTGTGCTTTTGCCATTCAAGCTATGCAGAACCTTTATGATGCTCATGATACTCTAATTGCCTCCTGAGTTTTCCAAACACATGAAGCTAATAAACATTGTACCTCTGAACTGAATATTAAACAAGGTTTGAAGGTATATCTATTGACTAAAAATTTAAATCTACCAAAAGCAAGAGCAACTAAACTCATATTGAAATATGTTAGACCTTATGCTGTACTCAACACTGATCATAAATCATTGACATATGAGTTAGACTTGTCAGAAGAGCTTGTCAAACATCATATTCATTCCCACTTCCATGTTAATTTACTAAGACCTTATATTGAAAGCAATGAAGTACTTTTTCTAAATTGCAAAAGGCCTAAACTATATGATTTTAGTTGTTCTGGTGATGCTGAAGAATTTGTTGAAGGCATTGAAGGACATGAATAGAAGAGTAACTCACTTTTATTTCATGTCTAATGGGTTCTAGGTGATATCACTTTTGAACCCTTCTCAAAGTGTATATCACCCAAAGCTCTGGATGAATATCTGACTGTCAGAGGCATTTCTAACCTGATGAACCTACTAAAGGTGTCCACTCAGAATTTTAGACAAAGAAAACAATGTCAGATAAAAACTACAACCTCAAGAGAGTTCACCATCACATACTGATATACTCATAATATCTACATCACACAGCTTTTAAAAATCATATTTTCTTCTCAGAAATTTTTCTGCCTTTTTATAAGCTCTCTGTTAATGGGGCTGAAATCATCATTATGAGTACCACTGGTCAAGAGAACATGAACAATAGATGCAATGATCCAGTTACTATGAGTTTAGAGCAAGTAAATATCACAATTTGTATGACACATCTAAATACTGAAGGTACAGTTATTCTATTCCTCTTTGTGGGTACAAATACAGTTACATAAAACCAACATGAGTGATGAAGAGGTCTTATATGCACACAAGGTGAAAACAGATACAGCAAAGTGCTATCCACTGATCACACTCACACCAACACATATACAATACTCTTAGTTTGTGGGGAGATTATAATGCAATAAAGGTAGTAACAGCAAATATAATTGTCTTCTCCAATGAATCCACTGTATGCAAATAGCAATAATGCATGTACAACAGTTCTAGGTCTCTCTAAGTCTCAAAGCTTTTCATTTTATGAAAACAAGAGATGGAAATGAATGTTGCCAGGTCTTGAGGCAAAGATACTGTAGCTCAATACAATACATCAAAACAATCCCACAACTCTCACAAAGGTTCCAAGCATAGCTCAGATCAAATCAAAATCTCTAACACACACAATACATGACCCAAAGCTTAGCACTCTAAGCAGAAACCAATCACAAATGTGTCCACAAATGCCAAAAAGCTTAGATCTCTGTACACAAGTTTCCAAACCAATTGTAGACCCACAGAATTCAAACCTATGCAATCTAGAGACACAAAACACAATAAAACACTATCCAACAGACTTAAAGGGTTTGAACCTCTGCCATCTGTAGTGCTGCATATCACAAATACCTCAAAAACTCAAGATAGTGTCTTTCAGACACTGCTCTCTTATTCTCAGGCTAGAGCACAATCCAAAACCCCTTATTCAATTGAACTAGAGTCCTGCATAAGCTTTGATGCCTCACACAGTTCTTAGATCTCCCTTAATAATATCAATAAGAAGTCTATTCTCTTGCCTGAAGTTACAAACACAAAACCAGAGCTAGAGTACAAGGCTTTCTGTGCCCAATACACTGCAACTGTGAGAGGGTCAGAAACTTGTATTCTACTCATACAATGTGGCATTTAAATACTCTACTGTGGTACTTACTAATACAACTCTACTATAGTATCTTCAATGTGTAGGACTCTGTTCTGGATTCTGCAGATATTATTTACATGCATATTGCAGTTGACATGCTTATTCTGATCTGAGTTGGGACTGTTTCTGCTGTTTCCTCATGATCTGACATTGACTAGCTGGTCTAGCCAGGTCTGCTCACTTTTTTATTTCTCTGGTGAAGCATTCTGACACTGGAGAACTGTTCCAGGCCCCCAGGATTATCTCTCATGTCTGAAGTCAGTCACAATGACTATGTTCTCTTTTCCAGTGTCCAGACATTCTATCTGACTCACAATATGCACCATTTCTGGTCTAGTGTGCATCAATTAATCCACCCAATGGGTATGTATCATACCTCAGTATAATACAGAGTCTCTCACAGTGTTAGGTGTGCAAAGACACCATAATTATGTGCACAAGTCTCTGAGCATTATGCATGCTATTCACTCTTTGATAGTATTTATCTATTTATTACTTTGTTGTCATCATTCTATTTCTCTGTTCAACACCCAGTTGTTTAGATATCTTTCTTTGGGTCTCAGTTCTCTGTTCTAAGGCATGTTCCATCAGTACATCAATGGATGTGCACCCTTGATCAATGTGATAAGAATTGCCAATCATATTTCAATCATATTCTTTTTATTTTTAGCATGTTTTCTTGTAATGGTATTGGCACATTTAGGGCCAAGTGCTGGGACCTCATGCACAGTCTAACCTCTCTGGTATTAGTCTATCACTAGGCCATGTACTCTGCTCATTGTTACTTCAGTTCAGCATCATAATAGCTATGTTTCTTTGTGCTCTAGACCTGTTTTCAGTTACATGCTTAGTGGACTGGAATATAGTCCATGTATTCTCAATTTTCATAATTTTACATGCCTGAACATAGAGAGGGCATGTCAGCACATGCAAAACCTCTTCACTACCATTACACAACAATCAGTAGATATGAGTGTAAAACATCCAGATTTGCAATCCATCTTCTCTGCCAGATTGAAGAGACCTGCATCTCAGATTGGCAGGAAGTTCCACTTCCTGCAGACCATACAGAAATTGGTACTATGTATGTTTGCACTGAAGGAGAGGACATCCTCTGAAGAGAGTATAGCCAATAAGCATCATTGGTTGAGGTTCCTCTTGCAGGCTCTGACAATCAATGATCAAGAGTGGCATCATACAGCATCTTGACAACAGATGGAGGATAGGCAGAGACCCTTCATGCTCTCCACTCCTCCTCTCATGTTGAAAATCTAGAGTGATCAAAGAGCTTAAGAAAACAACACAGCTTCAGCAACTGATGATAAAAATAGACCCAAACAACAAATATCTGCACCCATTCTCAGAGCTAGCAGCTCCATAGAGATGCACCAAACATGACTATAGAGAAAGACTGAGCATAAACAGAATGGATGGTCTGTCAAAAGATGAGGGAGCATGCCAACACAAAAGAGACATCAAAAAGATACAAACCCAGAACCACCTACTAATATACACAGATAGCTCACAGCAGGATGTAGAGGAACAGAGGCAAGTAGAGGCAAGCATAGTAGGACTCAGAGATGGGACACAAGCATTCAGGCTTAGTATGAGCCTGAGTAGAAAAGCTGAAGTCTATAATAGAGAAATGGCTGTCCTCACTATTGGAGCAACAAGAATGATGAACTATGCAAAGAAAGATAGAGAAGTAAAACACATACACTTCTTTGCAGACAACTCATCAGCCATCAATGCTATATTTGACTCTTTACTCAAAACTGAACAAGCATTCTCAATACTGTTCCACTGATACATATGCCAATTTCTTGGCACCAATCCTATGCATACAGTCAAAATCTCATAGTGCCCAGTGACATGCCCTCTCTATGTTCAGGCATGTAAAATTATGAAAATTGAGAATACATGGACTATATTCCAGTCCACTAAGCATGTAACTGAAAACAGGTCTAGAGCACAAAGAAACATAGCTATTATGATGCTGAACTGAAGTAACAATGAGCAGAGTACATGGCCTAGTGATAGACTAATACCAGAGAGGTTAGACTGTGCATGAGGTCCCAGCACTTGGCCCTAAATGTGCCAATACCATTACAAGAAAACATGCTAAAAATAAAAAGAATATGATTGAAATATGATTGGCAATTCTTATCACATTGATCAAGGGTGCACATCCATTGATGTACTGATGGAACATGCCTTAGAACAGAGAACTGAGACCCAAAGAAAGATATCTAAACAACTGGGTGTTGAACAGAGAAATAGAATGATGACAACAAAGTAATAAATAGATAAATACTATCAAAGAGTGAATAGCATGCATAATGCTCAGAGACTTGTGCACATAATTATGGTGTCTTTGCACACCTAACACTGTGAGAGAC